CCCCAATAACCCTGAAATACCGCTTGTACCCACTTGTGTTCAATGCGTGTGTGTAAATCCGCTATGTACCTGCCTAACACAGCAATGTGGACGAGATAGTGCTCGACTACGTAGCCGAAGTACTGGGCGACTTGGGGAGAGAGCAGGGAGAGAGCAGTTTCGACGTGGACCAATTCTCAGAAATGATATCGGCCTACGTCCCCGATTTTTCCTCCATCGAATGGTACAGTGAAACTCTCTAATATGGACACACTAAAATGTCCATAATAGTAGAGAAGTGTCCTTATTTCAATAACATGAAAGAAATGCTACCAAGAAATACAAGGTGTCCTTATAGAAAAGTGTCCTCATTTACTAAGGTGTCATTAGACAGTGGTTCAAATGTAGAACTAAATCTTTATGGAATCGATTTCTTTCCGCAGTTCAGTGGTGTGTCAGTGGGTATTTGAACTAGCAGAAAAACAGAAAGCAGTCAAACCCAGAATGGAAGATTCTCGCAGCCAAAAACCTGCAGCTCCAAAAACAGAACAAACATCGAAAGCGAAACTAAGAACTAAGACACGTGGTGGTAATGGTGAAAAATCAACAGAAGGCACTACTTCTACCAATGATACTGCCACTGGTGATGGCGGGGAAGTTTCTCTCTTGAGAGAAATGTTTCCCAGCGTGGGGGAAGAAACAATATCAGCCGTCCTGATGAAGTGTCAGGGAGACATGGAGGAAGCAATTCAGCAACTGTTAGCTCTACCAGAGGAAATCACGAGAGGGAGAGAGATGGAAGTGAAAACCAGAGGCCAGACAAGACATTTGGTAAGACAAAAAGAAGCATGCTTTTTCAGATCTGTTGGTGACAGTGCTTACGCTGGCTACTTTGGAAAATCCCAAAAAATTTCTTACTTTTACATGGCCCAATTTTTACTGCTTGATTCGTGTAACATTGCCACGTTTTATCAAATGAACGTGGTAACGGTGCAGGGCGATCCATCTAGGACGGAAGTGTGTGGTGACAAAGATATAAAGGAATCACTGCTAGCAAGGTGAGCATTTGTTATGGTCTTTAGAAACTTGAAAATCCTGCGAGTCCACAATACGTAGGTACTCTTTTGTGGACACAAAGGAAGATAAAGTCACCCATCGTCCAGTTTTATCAAAACCAGTAAGTTCTAAAATGGGTAAATCACTTCACATCATATTACATCATGTGGGTGGTATATGTACATACGTTGATGATTAATTTATAGGGGTTAATTACAAATCCCCTTGCCTCCTATATAGCTAGAAAAAACTGCAGCAAATTTCATTTTGATTCCAGGAGCCAAAAAAGATGGTGAGGTATAGAGAAGGCCACGTGGTGACACGAAAGGTGAGAGGTTCACAGTTTTGACTAAAAAGGATACGGAGGGAGGAGAAGACATGAAAAAGACGTACGTTAATCTGAACCCACTCAGAAAATATCGCTTTCACTGACTTCTGGTCACAATTTTTGCTTAAACTCATCTACACACTGTGCATGATTTGTATATAGATTGAAGGCATTATGGTGGTATATACGTATAAACTGTTTCAGTTTTTTTGTCCAAAATTTATTATTCTGTTGACACAAAAGTGTTCAAAAAGGGCACCATACAGTAAAAACAATACCTAATATTTTATATATACCTCAGCCTTGAATTTGTTAGACACACATATACTAGTCGAGCAGTGGTTCTAGGTGCAGTTTTATGTCGTACTTTGCTCTGAGTACGATGACAGGCAGCATCTCCACCACGTGATCTTCCACAATACTCAGTCTGTATCTGTTGACAATAGAGGCAACAACAACTTTCTCTTCGTTGATGGCAAAGTTTTGTCCAATGCAGTTTCGAGAACCGGCAGAAAAGGCCAGGTAGGCGTAGGGGTCGCGCCCCTCGGCGTTGCTTGGTTCGAAACGAAGCGGATCAAATTTTTCAGGATCGGGCCAAATGGTGGGATTGTGATGAAGATGGTAGGTTGGTATACCAAGCCACACCCCCTTTGGCACCTTTATTCCATCAATTTCCATGTCACGCGACGCCTCGCGAAAAATGAGAATAACGGGTGGATACAATCGCATTGCTTCCTTGATGCACCACTGTGTGTACTTTAACTCTTTCAGATCTTCGTACTCTAGTGACTCTCGCCCGTTCAAAACCCTTCGGACTTCTTCGTGGACTTTTTCCTGGTGTTGGGGGTGCTTGGCGAGGCAGTAAAGTGTCCAGCTCATCCCACTGGTGGTCGTGTCGTGCCCTTCAAACATGAAAGTGTCGACTTCATTTCTGATCTCGGTGTCGGTAAGTCCAACGCCATCATCATCGACTGCCGTCAGCAGAATGTCTAGAAAGTCGAGGTGGCGAGATTTGGTGATGTGATTAAAGATATCCTGCGATTCAGAGCCGGGATTTAACCCTTTGTTGCTCCCTTCTAGCCCCAGAGCATTCCTTCTTTTCTTGATGATAATTTCTGCATGAGCGTGGACGACTTTGCAGGCATGCTTCATCTGCGTCCAGCGGGAGTGAGAAAATACAACCAGTCTAACTGGTAAAACGGGTTGAAAAATCGCTCGGCGATGCTGTTAGAGAGTTGGTAGACTGCTTTTATGTAGGCTGGTCTATTGCCTTCTCGTTGACATTCGCTCTTGAATCCGAACGAACACTGAAAAATTATATCCAGCGAAAGTGTGCTAACCGTATGGAATACAAGAACGGGTTCGTTTAGTTTTGCAGACGTGTCCCATTTACGGAACAATTGCTGCAGACACTCGTTGTAGACGGACACGTATCCCTTTAGAATGCTGTAGTGGAAAGCCGGCGTGAGGAGGTGTCGATTTCGATGCCATTTCGGGCCGTCTTCTATCGTCAAAAGACCCTTTCCCAACCACGGGTCGAGGAGGTCGTACACTTGACGCAGTTTCGGTTCCTTCAACATGGGCTTGACGGTATCGGGATGGCAGGCGGAGACTATTGCGACCATCGGTCCTAGCCGACCTGCCGTGGCTTTGTAGCCCTTACTGTGAATATAGTGATTGACTCGGAGAAGACTGTGTTCGTCGGGGCCGAAATTTTCGGAGTTGACCCATGAACCAGTGAGGGGGTAACATGGGGGGCGGGAAATCCCCAGACGCATCGCACCTTTCGGTACAGATCGTGGAGAAATCCTGCGAGATACCAGAGAAGCAGCGAGAAAACAGCCAGGCAGGACAGAATCCACAGCATTGCTCTCGCTCGATCAGCAATGACGCACACGCCTCCTACACACCCTCGAAGTCGTACGTGCGCATGCGCTTTACTTTTACCGAATATCCTGGCTTCTAAATAAACGTGAGCAGCAGTCACATGACTGAAAAATCAAAACGCCTAGTTTTCTGGAAATAGGTCGTTGAAGAAGACGGCGGAAACGGCGAGAGCTAGACACCAGCAGACAAGCCCACTCGGGATCCCGTGCTTTGGTTGACCGATAGACGAGGGAGAGAGGATCACGTGATGGCGTCGCCGAGCGATGCAGTGGGGAGACGGCAAGCGACGGTGAAGGCGAAAGTTGTACTGTTGGGGGAGGGCGCGGTGGGCAAGACGTCGCTCGTGCTCCGTTACTCGGAGAATAGGTTCAACGACAAACACGAGCAGACGCTACAGGTACGTACAAAGCACGGGCATGAACATTCGCCCCTGAATATGCCAATACGCATACCGTCCTGTTTTGCTGGGTTTTGTAGAGGGCTTTTGATTCCAAGTGGATTTGTTGATGCGTTCCCTTAGACATTTAGACATTTACATGTAGAGTTAGTGTAGTCCGGGTGTCTGTCAACAGTATGATATTCACTTGTGGGTGTCATCCTCTCCCTCTCTTACTGTTCCTCTCTCTTTTCCCCCTCCCCTCCCCTCTCCCCTATTTACCGTCTCTCTTCTCTCTTCTCCCCAGGCATCGTTTGTAGAGAAAAGACTCAACATCGGAGGCAAGAGAATCCAGCTGGCTATTTGGGTTAGATTGTCATGTCTACATACACCATCTCTCCACACAATAGTTCACTTTCACTAACGTACCCATAAACACTCATGCTGTATATACTTATTTTGGCTTTGGGACCAATACTGACAGATTTCATAATAAAAGGGGTTTCCATGCTACTAGCTCTAGCCCACTCAAAAGTGGTAAAAATTCAGCCCCTCACACCAGTTGCATGATTTCGGTCCCGATATGCTGTAATCGAAGCAAGCCCACCGCCTATTTGCCTGAATTTCGTGATTTTTCCGTTTGTGTTTGTACATGTGGCGCCGTCAGGTTTGTACCACATAATAAACCAGTAATGCTCTGCGTAATGAGCATAAAACCGCACAAATTTTGCACTGATCATCTCTCGCCTAAAAGCTTGAGTACATACATACATACGTACGTACATGCATAATGCTGATAAACAGTTGTTCTGTATTCTAAGTGTATATAGAGTGTGTGTGTGTGTGTCTGTGTTCCAGGACACTGCAGGCCAGGAGCGGTACCACGCTCTGGGACCCATCTACTACCGGGACAGCCAGGGAGCTATTATTGTCTATGACATCACCGATGAAGACTCGTTTCACAAGGTATTATTTTGGAAACTGCGCCGTTTTCTTTACAGTGCGTTTTGCTTTCTGTGTTGTTGCTTACTGACTTTGCAGTTATACAGGGTACTTGATGAACGTGTGTTCGATGCTTTATGCTGTGTTGTGTAGACAGCTGTGGCAAAAGTCACTTTAAGAGAGTGTTTTCGTAATTTTGTCAGAGTTATGAATGAAATTTTACAGAGTTTCATTCTCTGGTTCTTTTTTCACCTTCCTCCCTCCTTCCCTTCCTCCCTCCTTCCCTTCCTCCCTCCTCCCTCTCTCCCTCCCTCCCTCCCTCCTCCCTCCCCTCCCTCCCTTCCCTCCCTCCCTCCCTCAAGGCGAGAAACTGGATAAAGGAGCTGAAGCGAATGTTGGGGGACAAAGTGACACTTTGTATCGTAGGAAACAAGATTGATTTGGATCGTCAACGAACGGTTACCGAGAGAGATGCTTTAGAGTAAGCCACAAACCACGATTCCCACATCGTGCTTCCAAAAAAAGTGTGGTTTACCCGAAAAATTTTGTTGCTCCAAATTCAGGACAACAAAAAATATTGGGAGTCAGCCTCAAAATGTGGTAGAAAAGTTTCGTGACTCAATAAGAAACTTATTTCGCAAGTAGTTTGTCTAACTATAGCCGGCTCACAACATATTTTTTGCAGGCTTTTGAGAACTGCGATTATTTCTCCAAAGTACTACGTGTGTTGTTTATTGTACATACAGATATGCAGAGTCGGTTGGGAGCCAAACACTACTACACTTCAGCCAAGCAGAGCAAGGGAATCACTGAACTGTTCCTCGACCTCGCGAAAAGTCAGTTGTTGGACTCATCAACAAGCTTTGTTGTAGGCGGCCGTGAGGTTTTAGGCTTTGCTTGCCCGTAGCTAAAAGGAAGCCGGGAGTAGATCAGACATATCACGTTATTTTTGACAAAAGGCATTGTTTTATTGCTCTCGTATGTGTGTGAGCTGATCGTTTCCAAAGAACCAATGTGGCTATTTTGATTCTCAAATGAATTACCTTTCCAATTCCCTCCATATACCATTCTCTTTTTATCTCTTTTTCATCTCTCCCTCTCTCTCTCTCTCTCCCAGGAATCCTAGAAGCCAACCCTCCATCGTCGTCAATAGCTCCAGAGTCCCAGCGACGTGGCCCCACCCCCGCGGCCTCCCACCCTCCCTCCCAGCCCCGACAGAGAAGTACGCTAATAGTGACTGACGACTCTGAGCAGTCGGCCACAAAACACGGCGGTGGGGGTTGCTGTAGTTGATAGACCCTCACTCGCGTGTAGAAATAGCTCTTTGCGCGATTCCTCTACAGTTTTTGCTTGTCGTGCGGTTTTGGTTTCTATGATTATTAATAACCATTGATGTCTCCTGTTTGTTGTGTATTTAATTGCATTCACACATCACGAACTGTATAAGATCGAACTGTCGATAACACATCGAACAAAGCTTGCTGGATTGGATTAAGTATTAAGTGGATTCATAATTATTATGGGCATGCAGAATTTTTGTATACAGTATTGTGTGATTGTTTTTTTGCATCAACAGTGCATAATGAGTTAGCATTATACTACCTGGCCGTTGTAAAATATAAATTTCGCATCCCTTTGGCCATCACGTAAAAAGTTAGCTCCAATAGGATCACCCATTACAATGTATTACTACACGCCGTGAGGTTGATTTTTGCGTCACATAATTACACTCACTCATAAAATTAAAACTGCAAGACATCAAAAAAAACACCTCAAGAATAAATGTAGCACGACTAGTTTATAGTTCTCTAGTTTTTGAAATTCAAATAAGTTCGACGTAGTTTGAGGGGAAGAGACCTCTCTTACCTCTCACCTCGCCAATCCACCAGCCATCGTCAACCTGTGCGGAGGAGTATAATATTATGGCACTGGTGGTATAATATAGCGTGTAAAACCTGTTTAAAACTTGATTCAGATCCTATTGCGTCTGCAATCATTATTGTAAACCTTCGGTACAGTAATACAGTCATAACTCTGAAAAAGGACTCTCTAAATAAAAGGTCACCTCTCTATAATAGGACACTTAAAAGTCACAGTGTGTTGTTGCTAGGAAAACCTGTTTAAAACCGGACTGACTGGTGTGCAGTACGCATGCATCTACCTGCTCAATGTTTTCGATGATTTCGTCGGGGTCGAAGGTTACCTCATCTTCACCAGCTAAAAAGAAATTGTAGATGAATTTTATTACAACTATATATTTTTTACTTACTAGCTTCGTAGTCATAGATAGCTCTGGCACGCAATCCAGCACCCTGCAATGACAGAAAGAGAGAAAAACACACGGAATGACCCAGCTACAGTACAATCATGCACATATGGCCCACTTTTCACTTTTTGTCTTTCACTTTCAGGGTAGAATTGTTCGTGCTAAAGCGAGTGGTGTGCACATACAAAACACTAAACTTTCAGTCAGGCTCACAGCGAGCCTTGGAGAGTGGCAACTAGACAAGAACTAAGCCACGTTCGAGTTTCTTATGTCGGGGGATCGAAACGGGACAAAACCACTTTACTTCACTTTCACGACGTGATGATATTGATTACCTGAGGTTCCTCGTCGGCCGCGGTGTCATAGATATTATCCTCTCCTTCGCCATACCCACCTTCCTGCTCGTAGTCCTGCACGATAAAACAAAACACACATTATTATAGATTGGCTAGGAACACTATTAATCTAGGGCTAGTATATATAGGGATGGGCAATGGTACCTAGCATCATAGATGTATGGGGCTATGTAGGGAGTTTTGTAGGGCTAGGGCAGACAGTACGTTTTAATAACTGCAAGTCATGATTCTTGAGTCCCGTAGTATTTCGTAGACTGAGGGTGAAGGAAGGAGATATTGACTGAGGATATGGTTCGACTTCCCCACTACACCCTTAGCGGTTTTCTTCTAAATAGTGCCCACTACCCTCTTACTTCTAAATAGTGCCCACTGCACCCATACCTGCTCTTGTTCCTGGCGTCCTTTCTCCTCCTCTTCTTCCTCAGCCCGCCTCCTCTCGTCCTCCTCTTCCTGTGCCCTCCTCCTCTCCTCCTCTTCTTCCTCTTCTGCCCGCCTTCTTGCCTCTTCTTCCTCCTGTTCTAGCCTGAGTCTCTCTCTCTCGTCCTCCCGTTCTAGCGTCAGTCTCTCCCTCTCTTCCTCCTCCTCTCTCTCAACTGCCTCCTGCTCGGCTCGGAGACGCTCTGCCTCTTCAGCAGCTGCCTGTTCTTCAGTCTGAGCTCTGTCGTATTCATCCTATAGACATGTAATAATAACACACAGTTAACACTTAACCAGCCACGGGCACATACAGTAACTGTGTCCAGAGCCTCCATAAGTCCGTAAATAATACTAGGCACTAATACTTTATATGTACATAAAATTCTGCCTATTTAAGAAGATACCCATGGCGTCCAAAAGGTTAAAGTTAAGAAATCGGACCATATCTCAAGACTGTGAAATTACTTGGACACAGAATTTAGAAAAGCACACTAGTGGGGGCATGAAGGTATAATTACACTGTCAGGCAAGGCGAGGTGCTACTTTTACCAAAATGCAAATTGTACAAAGACATTGATACAACCACTGAACGTGTTTTAAAAACACTCTCACCCTCTCTTCCTCCTCCCTCTGTCTCATTTCCTGCTCCTCTCTCTCCCTCTGCTCTCTCTCCTGTCTCTTCTTTCTCTCCTCCTCTGCCCTCTGAGACGCCTCCTGCCATTATTACCACATCATGTGACCCCTCATTACAGTCATGTGACCTCAAAAAGTGTGTCATGTGACCTCTCAAACTTATGCAACATTACAGTGCGTCACGTGTCCAACATTACGGTGTGCCATTTGTCCTCTAATTGTGTGTCATGTTATCTCACAGTGAGTCATGTGACTGAGTGCCACGCCCACCTCTTGCTCTGCGTTGCCCATGTTCTCGAACTTGGCTCTGATGCTGCCGGCCTGACCGCCTCCCACCCCTCGTCGAGAGCTCGGCGAGGTTTGCCGCAACATCCTGCATGTCGTCATAGCTACCAGCAGACTGTGACGATACGATGGAGAGAGAAACAGTGCAACTTCTAAAAAGGACCCTCCGAATAAAGGACGCCTCTATGCCTCTATAAACGAACTTGATTCTGTCCCATGCTAATAGACTAGGGTTTTCGAATACGGGACATGACCTCTGAATAAAGGACTCTTTCAATGTCCCAAAGGTGTCCCCTTATTCAGAGGCTTCACTGTAAGTAATGGAGCAAACAACTTGGCATGAAGCTCGAAGTACACTTTGGCTAAAGCTCAGCACTCTAAAACACTGAAAATGAAATCAATGCCACCCATCCATACACCAGCTATTGTTGAGTGGGAATTGTTTGTCAAAAACAGACCTTATCCTGACGGTCAGTTTGTACCCCGAAACGGCCTCCAAACCCTTTCTTGGCGTCAGTCTGCGAGGCATGTGCCGACAGCTCTGACTGGTGGTCCCAGCCCAGGGCACTCTGGAATGGAACACAGACACATCACAGATAGAATCTCAACAAATCACGCACACATTCATGTACACACACACACACTGTATATAATTATGTACACCAAACATAACACGTAACCAGCCACAGACACATTGTGTCCAGAGCCTCCGTAAGTCCATAAGAAATTCACCTCCTAAGGGGAAGTCCCCAGCCACGCCCACTGCCAAACGGAAGCCCAGTCCTTTGGCCTAGGCGCTAATACTTTATACATCTCCTTTATTAGAGGTTCTACACATACATGTAACAAACTGCATACTTGGTGGAGCGCTTGCCTAGACTGCAGAGTGTCGTGGGTTCGAATCCCGCCCAGGGCAGCTCTTCTTAAAGAAAGAGCTGTCCTGGGTGTAGTTGACTTGTTTGCCTTGCCTTGCCTTTCTACCTCGTTACCAAGTTGTCGAGACATGTATATACATACCTTGTCCTGGTGGTCTTTCTGGACTCCAAATTGTCCGCCGAACCCCTTCTTAGCGTCTGTCTGTGAGCCATGTTTGGAGAGCTCTGACTGGTGTTCCCAACCCAACGCACTCTGCACAATACACACACAGGTGGTACAACAGACAAGTTAAAACACTTTGATAAATCTAAATCGGATCTCACTCCATTTTCTTGGGAAATTGTTCTCTAAATCTCTCATTTACTGGGGAAAATTGAACGGAATATAACTGACAGACCAACATAAATAAACGGACAGTAACATAATTATCACGGATACTATGCATTCTGTTTAACGCACAGTTTAAAACAGAGGGAGCTAGTAAAATTGTTTGTGCATTTCAGAACTAGTATATAGCTCTATAGCATGCTGAATGTTCTTGATTCACGCAATCTTTTGTGAAATAAACTGTAGGTATATATCACCTGATCTTGGCGATCTTTCTGGACGCCATATCTTCCGCCAAATCCTTTAGTCGTGTCAGTTTGCGATTCGTGTTTGGACAGGTCGGCTTGGTAGTCCCAACCTACTGCACTCTGGAAGAGAAGGGGGAGAGGGGGAGAGGGAACAGAAGAAGGGGAAAGATGATGATGTTTTATAATGAGTTTGACAAGAGAAAGGGATTAAAGGATACGTAGGTGTATGTTCTACGCACGAGAAACCTCTGAATAAGGGACACTTTGTGAACCTGTATAGACAGAGGTTTTGAGGTGATAATTATGATGAGAACCTTGTCCTTGTGGTCTTTCTGGACTCCGAATTTCCCTCCGAATCCCTTGACGGCATCGGTCTGAGATCCGTGTTTGGCCAGCTCTGACTGGTGGTCCCAGCCCAGGGCACTCTGGAATGGAACACAGACACGATGTTACTTACCTCTCCATGTAGAAATGCCAAAGTTGCATGATTATAAGTATAGCTGTGATACCCTTTTTAGGGTGAAAAATTTCTTGAATCACGCAATTTGTGAACCATTTTCTCTGAAAGTTGTGTGTTCAGTGGAGGACATTTTGTGTGGCTGGCTGGATAAGCAAATGGTAAATTTTTTCATGCATCAAAGATTTTCTTACTCTTCTACATAATATAAGCCGAGGTATTAGATAAAAATTTACAAACTGCCAAAATTCACCGAAACTTCTTCGTACCAAATACATTTTAACACAAGCAAAGGAAGAAGGAAACAGAGAGAAGTGGAAGAGAGACATAGGAAAAGGTGGGAGAGAGATAACAAGGGTCGTTAGATTCAAAAACCTTGTCTTTTCTGTCTTTCTGGACTCCAAATTTCCCTCCGAATCCCTTGGCTGCGTCGGTCTGAGATCCGTGTTTGGCCAGCTCTGACTGGTGGTCCCAGCCCAGGGCACTCTGGAATGGAACACAGACACACACATACATACAAGCCACGCCTCATTGAACTTTGCCCTTGGACTTCATTCTAGGAATGGCAGCTATGCACATAACATGTACGTAAAAAAGGACACCTCCCAAAGACAGTGAAACCACTCTCTATAAGGACACCGCTGAAATGAGGACACCTCTCCACTTGCGCATGCAATTCTTCAACCCTTGAATCAATGGACACTCTCCTCTTCCCCATTGGTATCCAATTTGGACACTCTTCCTCCGGGTTAAATTTGTCAGTGTCGGAGTAAAGGGGTTAAGGGGTTATTTGTAGTGTCGGAGTATAGGGGTTAAATTCGTCAGTGTCGGAGTAAAGGGGTTAAAATCGTCAGTGTCGGGGGTTCCACTGTATCAAAATTAAGTGCTCACCTTGTCTTTTCTGTCAGCCTGGACTCCGTATTTCCCACCGAAGCCTTTGGCCGCATCTTTCTGGGAGGAGTGGGTGAATCCTTCCTTGACGTTTACGTCTTCCTTCTTCACCTGTTCCCTGATCTGTTTCATACTGGAGTGGAGTAGAGAGAGGAGGGAGGGAGGGAAAGAGGAACTCATCCATTATTAATTTTGAAGATGTAATCATTTTTACAACAAAATTCAGGCCGCAAAAATTGACCGCCAAAATCGTGCGCAAAATTTCTCCCTTCCAAGTTCTACAAAGAAGCTTCCTGCATACCTGACATCGCCCGCTCTTGATGCAGAGCCCTCCACCGTCTTCGAACCCCATCTCTGCTCCTCTTCTGTCACCTCGTTCTAAATAGAGACCACCAGGAAGTGACATCATTAATTGGTTGTCGAGGAAGTGACATCACTACTAATTAACTCACCACAAAGTCGGGGTCCGTCTCCCAGTCGTCGTCCTCGGTTTGGGTGATGGTTTTAACCTCTTTCGAACCAATTTGACTTCTCCACATGTTGGTAAAGGGTTAAATCGGTCAGATCTGGAGTAAAGGGGTTACATTTGTCAACTAGAAGCCACAAAAGTGAAATTGAAAACGGGAAACTACGGCACAAGTGTACAAATATTTGCCGAATTGCCTCAAAACATCTCAAGCAAACTGTGTACGTATATACGTCGTTTCTAAACAACACAAATCAGTCAAAAGATGGTGTGTTTAAGATAACATCAGCAAAAGTAGCGGCACACAGTGTGTCATAGTGCACCTTGTAACATGCGTGGGGACAATGGAGCACCAAGAACAACTATAAACATCATTTTACAGGCACAGTTACAACACAAGTTATACACATGGTGGCAAGTGGGCCAATTGTAGCACACACAATGGAAAAGTGTAATCAGGACACAAATCACACACAAAAACTCTTATGTAGTACTAATGAACTCTCACTGATACACCCTAGCTAGCTAAAAACCTAGCTATATACAAACAATAGATAATGCTCCCTATCTGTCTTGGCTACATAAGGGTGTATGTACAGTGGTCCTTTTGGTATACTAATGGCTGTATTGGCACTTGAACTACACGAATTAGCGGACGAATATGCGAGAAGCGAGCTAATACACGTCGAATAAGTCACAAATTCGCCAAATCTACGCCAAAATCACCGAGTGAACTAACAGGTAAAGTCTATTACTCACGCGGTAAATGATGCAGGAGCTTCGGCACAACACGACGAAGGAGAAACGGAGAGAGAGAGACGAACGCTGCGGTTGTCACTGTTGTTTGCTGGAGCACCGAATAAGGAAAATCTTTCCTTCCCTGTCGTGACGTCACAAGCGGTGGGCGTGGTTTTCAAACAAATGACGTCATTCGCAGCTGATATCCGGTGATCTTGCTGCATTGCCGGCCATTGGGTTTATGAGGGATGGCAGGGTTTAGTGGAGCTCTAAAGCTGACAGATCTGGACGACTTTATAACTCCGTCGCAGGTGAGCTCCTACGCGCCGAATTCTTGCGGAATAGACGGTCTATTCCATTTAATGCGCACCGTCTGAGATGTGCGAACGTCTATTTCCACTCTTCCGCTCTGCAGGCGTGCGTGAAGCCGGTGACAGTCGAGAAAAAGCCGGGAAAGGTGCGAATAACTATCAAACCATATTGTGTAAACCTCCGGTGAACCTTTTTCTGTTTCAGGGAGTTGCCTCGATCAAGATAGGACCTGATGGGACATACTCCCAAGTAGATGAGGTTGTTACTCTTAAAGCAGCGTCTTGAAGCTATATAATATGTTGGGAATGGTTTTTTATTTCAGGAAGGATCTGAAGTGGTGTTAGAGAAGGCAACAATATCATTGAATGACTGCTTGGCTTGCAGGTCTGTATTATATTAGTGCATAGCTAATTCGAATCGACCAATCAGATTTGTTAGTACGAGTTCCTGATTTCTCATATGAACCTCGTGAGCTAACAAAAGTAACATGAAAACATGATATGAAACCTTTTCTCTCCTCAAGAATAGTTTCTTCCACTAATGCAGACACCCTTTCTTTCTCCAAGAACAGTTTTTTTGCTGCATAAACGAGGACACTTCCTCACTAATATGGACACTTTCTTCTGTCCCATTGGTGTCTGGATTAGAGAGGTTCCACTGTATAATGCTCAGGACACCTCACTAATATGGACACTCCACAAATTTGTGTGAAGGCATCCGCTTCGCCTCCCCCACACACACTTTTAACTTTCTTGTGTCTGACTCAATGCAAATTGTTGTCTCCTTATTTCCCACTGGATACATGCAGTGGATGTGTGACATCAGCCGAAAGTGTTCTCATCTCACAGCAGAGTCAGGAAGAGGTTTACAGGGTGGCCGAGGAAAACAAGAAACTGAAACAGGTTTTTGTTGTTTTTTGCCCACCAGTTTCAAGAATACATTATGAAACGCACAATAAAACAGACGAAAGAGCCTCGGTTCCGTTGGATCAAGTGTTCTTCTTTCTCTCCTCTATTTTGTGCACCCCAAAGATTTGTTTGTCTGTCTGTCTGTCCACTTGTTTGTCTGTCTGTCTGTCTGTCTGTCTGTCCACTTGTCTGTCTGTCTGTCGGTCTGTCTGTCCACTTGTGTGTCTGTCTGTCTGTTTGTCCACTTGTTTGTCTGTCTGGCAGGAGGGAAGAGGAGGGGAAGGAAAAGTGATTGTGGTGTCCATATCCCCACAAGCCAGAGCCTCTATTGCTGCCAAATTCAACCTCACAGTCCAGCAGGTATATAGCAAGCCAATGTGGAGTACACACTGGACCAGCCACCTACGTATTGTGTGTATTGATAATAGGCGGCAGAAAAGCTGGTGACTTTTTTCAAAGACATCGGAGCTCACTACGTCTTTGATCTGACTTTTGCCAGAGATTTCGCTCTCATTGAAAGGTAATGTTCTAAAGACACCCCCTGAAATGAGGACACCTCTTCAATAGGGACACCCCTGAAATGAGGACACCTCTTCAATAGGGACACCCCCTGAAATGAGGACACCTCTTCAATAGGGACATCTTTTCTTTCCCCAAGAACAGTTCTTGCATGCATACAAAATATTTGCCCTACTAACTATAAACCTTTTCCCTTTAGCACTATAATTTTGCTTTCTCTTGATAATTACAGTGCCCGCGAGTTTGTGAGGAGATTTCGTAACTCTACGGCCAAATGCTCTCTCCCAATGCTTACTTCGGCCTGTCCCGGTGAGATTTTTCTGGAAATGAGTTTGAAGTGCCTTAGACTATATGGATTTACAGTGGAACTCCTCTAATCCAGACACCAATGGGACAGAAGAAAGTGTCCATATTAGTGAGGTGTCCTGAGCATTATACAGTGGAACTCCTCTAATCCAGACACCAATGGGACGGAAGAAAGTGTCCATATTAGTGAGGTGTCCTGAGCATTATACAGTGGAACCCCTCTAATCCAGACACCAATGGGACAGAAGAAAGTGTCCATATTAGTGAGGTGTCCTTATCTCAGGGGTTAAATTGCAAGCAAGAACTGTTCTTGGGGAATGAAAAAAAGTGCCAGTGACCTAATCTTAGAGGTGTTTCCACTGTATAATCAGCTATTGGAGTGAAAGCAGTTGGGCAGCATATATATATATATATACACCCCATTGTAAACAGTCCTATTGTGAGAGGTTCCACTATATCCCATATTGCCCCCTCTCAGGGTGGGTATGCTATGCTGAGAAGACCCACGGGACCTACATCCTCCCGTACATCAATACAACTAAGAGTCCTCAGCAGATAATGGGCTCCTTGGTAAAGTCACACTCCATCAGCAAGACGTAAGATTTTAACTATATTATTATAATGTTTTGGGAGTCACACTTGCAATTTAGTGTTTTTTAATTCTGCCTTTGATAGCAATTGTCTACCATGTGCTCTATATATATAGTTGGTGTGAGGGTATATATATCTTTTTTGAAGAGTTAATTTGAAGGGGAAAATTATTGGTATTTTGGTGTAAATCACTCTAAAATGGCACCACCGTCAACATTTTTTGTTTATTATTATAGTGGTTTCTGTTTCAAAACAGGCCAAGTGATATCTACCACGTGTGCGTCATGATGTGCTACGACAAGAAGCTCGAAGCTTCGAGAAGTGATTTCTATAGCGACCTGTACCGAACTAGGGATGTCGATTGTGTCATTACTTCAGGTATATAGGTTTTTTAAAACGGTGCAAGGAAAAAATCAGTGCCCAGTGTTTAAAGAGTTAAGTGGCAATGGTGTGCAAGGGGTTATTTGGGAAATACGTTCTATCGCTGCAGTTGAAGTGGAGAAGATGTTTAAAGAAAGAGAAGTCGATTTTTCCTCCCTCCCTCCCCTCCCCTTGGACTCACCGTTAGTCATGTGACTTATTGTCTGAAAACCTTTGACGTCACGTGACTAACCTCTCATGTCATGTGACAGGTTCTCCAGCTCAGAAAAGGGGGCGTACTATGGACATGGTGGAGGTGGCTCGGTATGTGACACAAAGTCACCTAATGTATAACTTGTATAGGGATCTATTATGCATTTTCATTATAGGGTGGCTACCTGGAATATACATTGAAGTATGCAGCATATGAGGTACGAATAATTCTCAGTGATGAATTTTATCTCTTATCTGGAGGTGTATATATAATACATATACCAGCTGTATGGACAGGATGTGAAAGAAGTGACTTATAAAACTCTTCGTAACAGAGATTTCCGCGAAGTCACACTCGAGGTTTGAAAATATGTATTTCACAAAGAAACACCTAGCAATTTGAAAAGTGTATTTATGTATACATGCAATGTGCGTAATGACTTGATCCATGTCTTCCCATGTGTTGGTAAAATCTCTGTGTTGTTGTGCAGGTAGGTGGGCAGCCGGTGTTGAGGTTTGCAGCTGCCTATGGTTTCAGGAACATTCAGAACCTGGTCCAGAAAATGAAGAGAAGGAAGTGCGCGTATCACTTTGTGGAAGTCATGGCTTGTCCCTCAGGTTGGATTTGAACCTCTCTCTTCTCCTCTACCCCTTCTTTCCTCTCTTATAATGCTCTCACTTTTTGTCTTTTTCTCTTTTCTACATTAACTCTGCCTTGATTTTGAAACTGAAATTGTATTCCTAGGCCTAGACAAGTCACAATACCGTAGAATCAATTTGATTCTTATTAGTCGATGATACTAGATCCAAGATCGCCAATTAAGTCGAGATAACAAATTCGAACTGGCCCCATCCACAACGCGCTTCTAATCCCATCGTTTCCCCTCCACTTTGGCGGTTACTGTTGCTGCTGCAGGCTGTCTGAATGGTGGGGCCCAGATCCGACCCAGTGAGGAGGAGACAGCAAAAGACGTCCTCGCTAAAGTCGACAGCCTCTACAACTCTGTCACGTGAGAGATGAATATTATATAACAGTGTGTGTGAGAAAATAGTCACTGTATTGTGTTTTTGTTTAGGCTAAGAAGACCTGAAGAGAACCATGAGATCGAGAAACTTTATAGGTAGGAGGTTTAAGACTTCGTTTTTTTTGTTTCTTTTTGTTAATTTTTTTTCACTTCGTTCATGTACATATCCCTCTTAATTCTCACTCTTTTATCCCCTCTTTCTCCCTCTTTCGCCTCTCCTTTACTTGTCATTTTTCTCCCTCTTTCTCCCTCCTTTTTCCCTTGCTTTTTCTTTCTCCGTGCTTCCATCTTTCCCTCGTCTTATATAGTGAGTGGCTAGGTGGTAAAGACAGTGCTAAAGCCCACGAAATGCTGCACACTCAATATCACGAAGTGGAAAAATTCATCAGTGCACTGACTATCAAGTGGTAACAGTAATTTTTCACACCATGACTTTCATCAATGACTTGACATTCACGTTCATGAATTGTTCTATGACGTATGATGGTCACGTGACCTTGTTGTGACAAGGCGTTGCTATAGAGAAGGGTGTACATCCTGTTGAAAGTGTGAAATTTGTTGTGTGAGCTCATGATCTCGATAGAGATTGAAGAATCTTGGGGAAAATGAGTCGAACTGAAGGTGTTCATTTGCCACGGCTGCCGTAAGTGAATTTTGCGCACGCGGTTAGAAGAGAGGGTGGGGCTCCAAGCGCATGCGGAAATAAAACGTCTCTACCTCTTGTCTCTCCGCAGCACTTCACATACGCGGGTGACCAGCTCTCGTGCCATGCGGCACCACGCTGCAGCGGGCCCGTCTCTGCGTGTCGAGACCCGCAGAAGATCCCTCTCCGAGCCCAGCTATACTGCATACGTGTACGACACACTACCACACACACCAACACAATACTTGCAACACACACACACAGACAGTTAGTTATGCTTCGGGTTTGCTACAAAACTGTCTCTGTCGTCTAGGGGGACTCCGCGACAGGATATACCGCATCCGGTCTTCAGCGACGCTGCAATGTACGACGACGTGTTCGACAAGGAAGGCCGCCTACTGAGCGGTAGAAACACGGCCAAGTTCAGCAGTCCCCTACACACCGTGGGATACAACAGGTGGCTATAGCTATCTCTGCAATGAGCACCATAGTTAGGAGCTATACTAAATAAAGTACACACATAAGATGGAGGGAGTAAGACCTTGTTTTCTGACCTTGCTTTGCCTCATAGCTAACTGTTCAGTGGTTGACTTCAAGACTTGAAGCATACTGCATGTTCAGTATAAAATTATATACCCGACTAAGTCTACTTCAATCAGTATTATCTTCCCATAAATCCAAATTGCCTGTTCAACAATGAGCTAATGAATGAGTATTTTGCTGTCATTTACCCACAGTCTCAATGATCCGCACTGTCGAAAGTTGTTTCTGAACAACAAACGTCTTCGATCACACCTCATCAATCTTGGCTTGGTAAGAAAATCCGTTGGCCTGCATCTATCACTAATTTGAACATCTCCTGTTGAAACGGACAGATCACGGACGATTTGAAGGTGGTTGCTACGACGAAAGAGCAGCGGCAGAAGATAAGAGCCCATGAGCTTCTTGAGAGAAAAGAGATGCTAGCACAAGTCAGTAAAACCTCGTTCTCTTTCCACCTCTCCATTATCTCACTCTCGTCATCACTTGTATGCAATAGAGTGGTTCCGTACAATTAATGTTTCTTATCTACACATTGGTACTCACCAGAAACTGGAGTGCAGGGAGAAGGAGAGACTAGGGCGACTGTGCCAGCCATTCAACGTTCCCCGGACCTACCAGGACTCTGTCGCCAGACACGAATACAGGCAGCAGCAGTGGAGCCAGGTGCAGGAGATGAAAACGAAAAAGATCATACGACAGCAAGAGGTGATGGAGTTGTGTGCCATTGTCCTCACGCTTTAACAGCTTAAGCAAGCTCATTTTGTGAATGTGGATAACTTAGTAAATGATGAGTGTGCACGTGAAAGCGGCTTGCTACCTCACTTTGTTTCTTGACATATGCATGCAGCAAGAGAGAGAGGAGACGTGCAGGAAACTGAGGCGGAAGAAGGCAGAGTTGGAGGCAGCAATGGACGAGGCCAGATTACAGGAGCAAGCCCGCAGGAACGCTCTCAGGGTCCAGCAACAGGTGGCAGAAATACGAGCATACGAGAAAGCCTACGGAAGGGTTAGAAAGTATAGCGTAATAAGTTGTTATCTTGATTGATTCGTGTGTGTGTGTGTGTGTGTGTGTGTGTGTAGACGGCTCACTGGCATCGTGAAGCAGATAAGATTAACAACAGGTCAGCTTGAAAAGTGTTATGTAACAGATATATTATAGCTGTGTTATGAGCGGCTTATGGTTTAAATGCTATAATGGGCAATTGATTGTATGCAGAATGGTAGCTATGAAATTACAGTGGGCAAAGAAAAAACAACGGAGCGTGCTCTCACAGGTAAGGCCATTCTATAGTTCTCCCCACATACGATAATCTCTTTTTCTCTTTACTTTTCTCCTCTATCGCGGCTGTTTGTCCATCTCTCAGTCTTTTCCACCACCCTCCCAATATCGGCAAACCTCTCAAGAGGACAACGATAAGCTCAAAACATTGCCCAAACTTCACATTCAGGTATAGATACAATAGATAATCACCAAAGAAAATAGGGGTGCCCAATTATGGCGAGTGAGGTGAGCTTATGTTCTCACCGGCTGCAGGAGAATAAGATGGGAAAGGTCACCACATCCCCTAGAGTTACTAGAGAGGGAGAGAGTGAGGGAGAAGGAGAGAGAGCGGAAGAGAAAGACAGAGAACCAAGCGGTGAACCTTTGCAAGGGAGAGAAGAACTGACAAAGGGAATTCAAGACCCGCGACCTGGTATGCCAACATATTATGTACATGGGCCACAGAATGAAATAAGGCCACTTAGCTACTGTAGCTCGATGAAATTTACACCTAATCAGTGAAACTTACTGTATACAGAGAGCACTGTGAGAGAAGAAATGAAAACCACACCCACTCACGAGGAAGACGAGAAGAGGGAAATTCCTCCACAAACAGGATTGGACCCTGACGAGCCAGTAACAAAGGGTTTGCCCCTCCCACCACGCCCTGAATCTCCTCTCCCCACGCAACAAGGATTGCCCGTTGTTGGAGCACCACATCAGCAGCAGGACCTTGTTGCCGAGGGCGACCAAGCCAAGCAGGAGCTCGCAAAGATTCTAATTGATGCCCTCCTCAGGTAGATAACCACATCTTGTTACCGTAACTCTAAACTCATTCCTCTTCACTCACCTGTATAATATTTCTCTGAACTACTGCTGGCCTTGCATTCCTGCAGCCTATTCACCAACTGTGAGACACCGTAAAGTAGTGACTTGAGTGTGGGAGTTAGCTATAGTCACATTATACGCCTGCCTCTTTACCAATGGAGCGGTTCATATGAGCTCATGTATCATGTGTACATATCATACATACATGCATGCACTGCTGTAGTGTTGAGGGTGAGGGAGGGACTGGATATATCACAGTAGAGGACTTCTTGCAAGTTCTTACGTCTCCTGATCTCGGGCTACAGCTGGAAGAAAACGAACAAACTTACGTCACTTCTCAGGTATTGCATGCGTGTTACCAACCAACAGGACCAACACATTTGCCATTGAATTGTGTGTTTGACGTGCACTGGCCTTTTTATTGACACCCACCTATGACATCATACGTAGTTCTAACTCTATGTTTCACATCTCTCTCAGGTGGATCCAGGTGCCAGTGGAGTGGTGGACTACAGAGAAGCTGCCGCTCTAGTTCCGGAACTTCTCCAGCTGATATTCTCACAGAGAGCAGAGCAGAGCATGGTGGGTGTGAGGCATTAATACGTACAGTGGATGCCATCTTTGAACGAGGACACCTCTGGTTCCTCACAAAGGATTTCTTGCTTGAAATGAAGACAGCTCTCTAATAAGGACATCTTTCTTCTCCAAGAGCAGTTTTTGCTAGGGATTTAATGTGCAATCAACAAGCCATGGCTGTGTGGCTTTACTACAGTCTCAATGTCCTAAAGCTTACTTTCATAGCTAGGGTCGAGGTTTACTATCTCTCTGTCAATAATTGCAGCATTAGGTTTACACTCTTTAATAACAGTACTATTGAGTATATACTACGATAGGTCATACCTGCAGCAATACTATGTCTCTATTATTATGCAGCAATACTATGGGTATTATGTGGAGGAGGAGTGGGTGCAGATGTATCCGGTGTCAGGGGGCGTGATCTACCTCAACAAGTTGACTGGGAGGCTCCAGAGCGGCCGTCCCGAGGAATACAGACCTTTCCTCAAGGTCTCATTCTCCCTCCTTCTTTCTCTTCCCTCTCTGAATTTTTTCTTTTGATTACTGGCTCTCCATACCAGTGTTTGGTAGCAAAAGGTTTATGAGAAACATTTTGCAAAATTTCAAATGCTTGAGAGTGGAAGTCCCACTTGACAGCATCCTACTAATTGTATGAGTGTCTTCTCCCTCCAAAATCTAATGGCATGTGAATTTCTGTTTTTGCTTTTTCCAGGACGAAGTGTTTGAATATTCTCTGGTGGATTTCTTTGAGACTGCAGACACCGATAGGGATGGAGTCATCGACTATGAAGACTTCTACAATGTACGTATATATAAACCTGTGAATAATGGACACATTGGACATTGTTTGTCCCTTTAATGGGAGGTTTTCCTGTCGTTAGAGGTATATGCTAGAATAATGCAAAAGGGAATGTTTGAGACCACAAAGTGCGTCGCTTATTGAGAGGTTTTTTTATAATTGTCGAAATGTCTTTTATCAGAAGTTCGACGTTAGTTTCATGCAACATTGAAATTTCAGTGGAATTATGGTCTCTTGCAGCTCCTAGCGTCTCCTCAAGTGACCTCTAGGGTGTACCGTGGTCAGATGGAAGAGCTGCTAGGGCTATACCAGTCCCTGACGTTCGAGACAGGTGGCCAGATGGACCTAGCCCTGTTCCCAGCTGTAGGCAACCCTCTCCTGCTCATGATCTATCAGAATGCCTACCCTGACGTGGTGAGCTCCTCTTTATGAGAAACAAAGAGAAAAATCCCTTTACCATATTCTTTTAAAAACCACGCATTATGTGAGTTTTTTTTACTGTTTGTGGAGGTATTATTATTACCTGATTGAGAACATTAATCCTCTGTGCAGGAGGAGTGGATTGAGCTGGAGTCAAAGAAATTCGGAGTGTTTTGGTTGAACAAGACCACAGGAGAGATAGCTCTGCAGCAGGGGGAGGAGAGGTCAGAGGTCATTGTGGGTGGGGCAGATGGGTCATCTCTTGTCGAGGGAGGGAGGGCGAGGAAAAAGAGCAGGTCAAAGAAGAAAAGAGTAAGTGGAATTTCCCTTGCAATGTCAAAGACACTAGTTGGATATATCGTTGCAGAAGCACAGAAAGAAGTCCATAGAAAGTGAGTCTGCTCAATCACCACCGGACCCTCTATTAACTACCCAGACTGAGACCCAATCCAGCAATCAAGGGGGTGACCCCTATCATAACGAGTCTCCCTCACAACCAATAACCCATTCTTCGATGAACGAGTCCTCACTCGATGAACAGGAGCAGAGATCTGACTCACTAAAGCCGGTTAGCTCCAGAAGTCGACTCTTGGTTCCGACCGTGTTTGAAACTATCCCCGAAGAAGACGAAACAGCTCTGGACGACAGTCTGGTGGCAGGGCGTGGTATTGGAGATGGTGGGGAGAGGAAGATGGAGGGAGAGCGACATAAACTTGGACAGGAAGTGGAAGAGAGGAAAGGAGAGAAAACAGAAGAAACGGCAGAAAAAGAAATAAAGACCCAAGGAGAAAAGGCAGCACACAAGCAGGGAGAGAGGAAGGAGCAGGGAGACGACGAAGAAGTGTTAGAGCACACAGAGAGAAAAGAAGGAGAGAATGAAGGGGGGGTAAAGGAAGAGGTTGAAGATAAAACGACCCTAACAGAAGAAAGAAAAGGCACTAGTGACAACGATAATCGCGTGGAGACTGAGACCAAGACCGTAGACAGCAGTGATGCAGAGACATAAACCTTTGCATCACACACACCCATCTAATGTCACTATACACACAAAACCATCCTACAGTTCATTCCTATGGTGATACACTGTGGTATGATGTTACACTGCTATGCATAGTGTTGGGGGGGAGGGAGGGAGTGGATACGTGACAGTAGAGGATCACCCACAAGTCCTGATGTGTCTGCATCTCGGGTTACTGTTGGAAGAGACCTACATTGCTAGTCAGGTGTTGCATATACTTACTGTAAGCGGATACACAATAATTAAAACCACTGGCGACACGCTGTGGGACGATGATAATAATTTTTGTGCAGGGGTGTCGGGGTGCATGTCCTTGGTGTTTACTTTACACACCCTGCTTCTTTTGCTTCATTCAAGGAGAGTTTCTGTTATGTGTTGAGGGCCAAACGTAATCCAGGAAATTTTCCCAGACGGTGGCTCGCGACACTAGTGTTGACGTTGAGGGGTTTGCCTCAGTCTTGTGTTGTATTGTATTGTAGGTTTGATTTGACTGAGCTGCCCTGGTATATAGCTTATAGTAGGTAGAGCACTCTGCCCAAAGAGCAGAGTTTCATGGGTTTGAGTCACACGCAGAAGCTGTTTTTTTTTGCTGCAGAGAGAGTAAGCCGTGAAAATTTTTTCTTTCTACATGAATCTACATATTTCACGCATGAGTACAGGATAATGAACTAAGCTACAAAAATCTTGTGTCCATCACAATGTTTCGCCATCTTGAGAGAGGAAAGAGTGGATACTAACCGTAACGGTGGTATCCACCACCATAACCACCCCTGTGGTATCCACCATGACCGCCATAATGATATCCATACTGTTGATTGGCATTGTCTTGTTGCTGGTTGGCTTGCTGTTGGTCGGCCATAATATTTTCCTCTTGCTGTTGGTCGGCCATAATATTTTTTCTTGCTGGTGGTGGCCGTATCGATGCCTGTACCTGCCCCCATATCCATATCCATACTGTTGATTGGCATTGTATTGTTGCTGGTTGACTTGCTGTTGGTCGGCCATAATATTTTCCTCTTGCTGGTGTGGGTGGGATCCGTATCCATGCCTGTACCTGCCCCCATATCCATATCCATACTGTTGATTGGCATTGTCCTGTTGCTGGTTGACTTGCTGTTGATCGGCCATAATATTTTCTTCTTGCTGAATGGAGAGAGATTGCATGAAGTCTGGTGGTTGTGGTATCTCCTGCTTTTCCACGTCATATTGCTGCTTTTCCACGTCATATTGCTGGTTATCCACGTCATATTGCTGGTTATCCACGTCATATTGCTGCGTTTTCCATGTCATATTGCTGGTTAAACGTGTCGTATATAAATTGCGGCATCCTCATTTCTTCTGCAAATCTCGGTGCAGAATAGGCAGTTGAAACTGCCCCCAACAGAACGAGGCAGCAAAACACCCCAACACTCAAACGAGCCATTGCGTATCGACACTTTTCGGCAGTGGAGGCTGAAATTATCCTTCTTTAATTCTTCCTTGGATGTCCTTTGATGTAGCGTTTGAGGTGCTGTGCTAAGGAGACTGAACTAGTGGGCCTCTTTTATAGGACCCATGGCTGTTTTCCACGTTCGAGCAAATCTGCCTCCCAAGAACTACCCGCAGTTGTTAATTTGATACTTGCATTACTCAGAAGTTGGTAGATGGTTCAGCTACCAAATACGTGTAGTGTTTGTCAAAATATGCGTTAAATAGTGTGGCAATTACTAATATTCCAATCTCGTAAGACTATAACCGTCAACATAATAGCAAGAGTGTAATCTTTCCTCCCACACTCGTCTCTATAGCTCGTTTCTCTGAACTACGGTTCCTAATATCAAGGCACGCTTGGTTCAGAGGAATTGAAACGCGGAATGTCTGCAGTTTTATAGTACAAATTTCTAAGGCATTTAATGTAAGAGTATAAGCCTTGCTGGGACTGGCAGCTTCATGCATCAGATTCCTACTAACCAGCCATAGCATTTCTAAGGCATGTTCTGGAAATGTTTTCATCAGGCCTTGGTGCTAAAACCTGTCATATGTGAGATTGGAATCCGAGATCTTTTCTACAGAAGCTACTACTAAAGTGCCTCAGGAACATGCGATTCCCCTAACAGCAGCACCTCTAACGACATGTCACGCCTTATTTTGGTTATGTTTTGACTGCGACTTGGAGTCTGTAATTATAGATTCCAAAACTGGTCTTTAGAGCCAGGCTGGTTCTAAGTGTGTCTGTAACCGATTAGCTTTAGCTAACAGTATGGGCTGAGAAATCTGTTTCATATCTCTATGGAGGTGGATCCAGGTGCCAGTGGAGTGGTTGACTCCTGCTGCTCTAGTTCCAGACCTTCTACAGCTGATATTCTCACAGAGAGCCGAGCAGAGCATGGTAAGTGAGATCTCCGAGTTCTTACAGAAAGGATGAATACAGCCCATTAATGAACTACACAGTTCATCATCGAATAATCTCACGAACAAGGAGAGAGGACTCGTCTTAGAGATAGAGGAGAGAATGAAGGGGGAACAGAGAGAATTGATGAAGAAACAGTTATTATAGTGACAACGATAATCGTGCAGTGACTGAGGCCAAGACTGTAGACAGCAGTGTTGCAGGCGCATGGACTTTTGCATCACACACACATATCAAATGTCATTTATACTATATTATACAGATCAGAGCACACACATTATTTGTTAATGGTCAGTTGCAATACACACTAGCTATTTATGGTATGTGTAGATTTTTGGTCTTTTATAGAAATCAGCTCATATGAAATCAGAGCAGCGAGCACAATGAATACCAGCTGGAGGGCATCATTTAGATAGACTGGGGCATCTTCAACTACTTCTGAAACTGGTAGGAGCCATAGACCAAACAGCAGGTAGGTGAAAATAAGGACAAGAATGGCTCCAACAAATCGAGTGATCCAAATGGCTGGAATTGATATTCCATCTTCTTCCATAATCCGTTCTATTTCTTCTTCTGTATTCACATTGGGCTTGAGTGCATACCACCAATGCACAACAAGTCTGTATGTCTGCCGCATGACAATGAACATAACAGAGATGACAAAAATGTAGAATACAGTAAAAGCAGAACTGTGACGAACAAAGGATGTCCAGGCAACTATAATAAAACCAAAATGCGAAGATATACACCAGACTGGTGGAATAAGAGGCAACATATAGGTCCAAAACTGTTCCTGCTTCCATTGAGGCCTCTTAAATGCTTTAAATCTACATCTAGGCATGAAATATGCTACTACATTATAAAGGGTATTGAAGCAAGTTTAAAACAACCAGCACCCAAGGGAAATATGTCGAATAAGATAATCATGAAACATTCAAGAATAATAGAGGTGATAATAAATGGGAAGAGTTTTTTGTTCATGAACGCGCTCGGCAATTATGCAGATCGATCCGGCCGGCGGGCGCGCACTCACCACGTGAGGTCAAAGGTTACCTCGTGCACGTCGTCGAAGATGGTGTTCTTCACCTGTAACGCCTGTGGCTCGTCTCTCAAGAAGAACCAGGTGGAGAAACACTACCAGAGCGAGTGTCCGCGCTGCGAGGTCCTCTCCTGCATGGACTGCGGCCGAGATTTCCACGGAGACGAATACGCCGGCCACACCAAGTGTATCTCTGAGGCTGAAAAGTACCAGGGAGGCTTGTTTAGAGAGAGCGGGAAGGCGGGAGGCGGAGGAAAGGGAGAGAAAAAGCAGCAAGAATGGCTAGAGGTATTAGTTGCGTACGTTGATTCGCGTTATTTTATGTCTGTAGCTCGGATTTTGTCAGCTAGCTAGAAGGGATTTTTTTCTACTGATGGAAGATCAGTCTGCAGTTGCTTATACAATTTGTGTCTTTGCGTTTATAATATCGTGCAGAGGATACAAGGACTGATGGCAGATGGTACAAAGGTGAATCCAAGGATTGCTAGGTTGCTGGAGAGGATTGCACAGTATCCAAACATTCCCCGAAAGAGGGCAAAATTTGAAGTGAGCGCAGATTCTAAAATCTAAAATCGTCTATGTGTGCCATTACACCTTTCAGAATTTTGTGAAGAACAGCGTCAATGTTCGAGACCAAACGACACTTGGAGAGTTGTGGGATATTTTCAGTACTGCTATAAAACCAGTGAGAAATACCCAATTTGCTTCATTTTGCAGTTTCACAATTGTTTCCTCTCTCTTTCTCTCAGGCAGCTGCGGTAGTAGAAATTGAAAGTAGCAGTGGAGTAATTGCAGCGGAAGGAAACGAACAAAATGAGGCTGATAGGAGTGTTGTTACAGATAATGGTGAACCTTCACAGAAAGAGAAAAAGAAAAAGAAGAAGAGAGTTGAGGAGAGTGTGGGTGTGGAAACCTGCGATGCTCCAGACACAGATTTTGAGCAAAACCAGACAAAGACGACAAAAAGGAGGAAGAGAGTCGAAGAGAGTGTGGACACTTGCGACATTGATTTTGAGCAAGTCCAGACAAAGACCAAGAAGAAGAAGAAGAAGAAGAGAGTTGAAGAGAGCGTGGAAACTTGCGACATTGATTCTGAGCAAAGCCGGACAAAGAAGAAGAAGAAGCGGAAACACAAAGGAGAGGTTGAGACTATGCAAGCCAGGAGTGCTGAAGTTGAAGAAGATGATGATAGCACACCAACAGCTGTGGAAGAAATGGAAGTTTGTCGTAAAAAGAAGGAAAAAACTGAAACGTGCTGCTGATGAGGCCACTGTGGCTGATTGTCTTCCAAATGGTGACTTGAAGAAAAAGAAGAAAACTAAGTCGAAAGAGCAGATTGATGCCTCAGGGGGAAAGGAGGTAGAGAGGGGTGATGATTTGGTTGGTGTTGGTCCCATGGAAGTGGCCGTGGAGTACATCAACGGTCACCATAACAGCACAATTGCTGATGGTGCGGAAACAAAGCCCAAGATAGCCAAGAAGAAGCGAAAAAGCAAGAGAGAAACTTTCGTAGAAGAAGAAATGGCGGAGGAGCTGCTGCCTGCACCTAAGAAACACAAACACAGGCTTTAGCGCGTGCGCGTGTAACATTTTTATTTGCTAAGCGCCTTGTTTGGTATAAAACCGCTGATTTCCGGGGGGCGCATTAGTTGGAGAGATTTAAAAAACCGTCGTCTCTCGCTATGTCTGCTCCGTGCGGCGTCCCGGGGCTAGCGGCCTCGAAAACCAAGACCTCTGCTGGGCCGCTCCTGTGCAGGTGGACCGGGTGCGAAGCCTACGAGAACTGTACAGAGTTCGGGAGCGTCGAAGAGCTGGCGAGACACGTACAGACGGCGCACGTCGAACCGCTAGAGGTACGTTTCTACGTACGTAACGGGCGACGTGTCACACGGGGCCTCCGTCTCTCCATAATGTTCCCTAGTCTCAAGACGTGGTGGTGTGTCAGTGGGAGAAATGCAAGGTTTTCAACGTCCCCAGCCTCTCTATTCAATGGCTGAAGCGTCACGTGCAACAAGTTCACACAAAGGTAAGCCTCAATGTATGTAGGTGTTAGTGGAAAATTCTGTATGACATTCCCTTGAACCGTCTATGATGCATGCTGACCCAAAGCATTCTGTTGTGCATTTCATGAGCATGCATGGACAACAGAAATTTTTGCCTCCATCCATAAAATAGATTTTCTGAACTCTATTGAGCAATATGTGCATTATACTGTAGGACCGCCCGTTCAAATGCATAATGAACGGCTGCATAATGTCTTTCAACACACGAGAAGCCCTCCAACGACACGTCAACAGACATCTGGAGCCATCGGTTCCTCCAGCCACCAGCTCTTCCTCCCCTACCTCCCACCACCCGCGACAGAATAGCACCAAGACTACACGAGGTGCCTGTTGCTACTGTACAGCTATTTACTGTACACCTCTCTGTTTTAAAAACCCCACTGTATTTACTCCCATTCTCCCTCTGCCTTGTCTCTCTCTTTTCTTACAGAAAATTGTGGTTTCATGATGTAGCTGTATACTGTTCTTATTCCCCTCTCTCTCTCTCTCTCTCTCTCTCTCTTAGACAATTATGGTTGTTACACATTTACATGGCTTGTATTGGTTGGTAATAAGAAGCGCACTTTGCTAATGCTTGTCCGTAAATATTATGACCATCCTCAAACGTTGCAACCTTAATCGAGTTGTCTCCAGCTATTATTATGACCGTGATTTTCTCTTGGTGTGTGTGTGCAGGAGGTGGAAAGATGCAACAACGCAGACAAGTCCACTCGTCGCAGTTTGTCCCCAAGACCTACTCCCCACTCAACCATCTGTACTCTAATTCCCCTCCTCGTCGTCATCACCACCAGAGATTTGAAATCCCCACTGACAGGTATATATATATACAGTGGAACCCCTCTAATCCGGACACTAATGGGACAGAACTTCAGTCTCAGATGTCCCTATTTCAGGGGTTGAATTGCATGCAAGAGCTGTTCTTTGGGGAAAGAAAATGTGCTCTTTTTAGACGTATTATGTCCTCATTTCACACGCGTGTCCTTAGGTAAGACCCCTGCTTACAGAATGGCAGAGAAGTTAAGACTGGTGTTTTTATGATACGTTTCAGAGTTTTTCTTCTTCTCATATATAGTTCTTATGACAGCAGTGAAGACAATAGGCAAAGAATAGTAAGTCTCAAAGAATTGTAACTGGCAATCTATATATTAGTTTTTGTTTGTTGACAGGGTCGTAAAAAGCCACTCAGTCTAAAAATACGGATTCCGCGACGCTCCATATCTCTCTCTTCGCTCTACCCAACCCCTTACAACGGTTAGAGTCACTGACACCAAGTCGTTCAGGTCATGTGACTGTCACGTGACGTGCTACAGGTGCTTACATCCACGCAGACGTGTGGGATCGCAGAATGATGTCCGTCATTCGTCAGACCTGCAATAAACTAATGCAAGACCCGAACTCTTCCAAAGGCCTATGCATTACTCTAAATGCGAAGGTACATATTATTCCTATGCAGAAAATGCTGTGACATCATAAGTTGCCATAATTATTATGATTATTGTGCTCTATGTGCAACTGTAGGTGTTGGGTCGAAGGCGGTCTCTTTTAGCAGAAGATGAACTACTTGTCAGGTGGACACCACATCTGTAAGAATACCACATGTAACCTCTGATTTCTACTAAGGCTAGATTGACAATGTCACATTGCCTCAACACACCGTGCCGCGCTCCCGCATCGCGAGGATGGAATCCTTCATGGCACGACGCGACCGGGCAATGCGACATAATCATTGTGAACTCTGCCTAATTGTGTCACTATAATAGCACGCATGACCGTGTTTTTGCTCTATATCAATTCCAGCCAGTGCTGACGACTGCTGGGTTCCGGTCAGCCAGTTCTCCTCACAGAAGTCAGTTCCTCTCTCCCAGATCACCGAACCCTATTTCTCCACCCTGGCCACCAATGTCTTCTCTCACCCAAAGAGCGGCGGTGGAAGCCATTGCAGAAAACGAAAGCTTTGATCACTACGAACAAATTGTACTTTATCCCCCCTTTTCAACCAATTTTTTTCTGTCTTATTTGTACAAATTTGGTAATTTTTAAGATTTTGGCATTATTATTATGTCCGCAGGTTGCTTGCTCTGCCAAGTGCTCTGGTGCGTGTATTGTCTATGGCCATGCAAGTTAATACACACACACACACACACACACACAAGTGCAATGTGAGAAGTTCTTAGTGTTGGTTAGTGTTGATGTGGAGCTGGGATGCATCTTGACGTAATCGCCGGCCGAGTAGCTGAAAAACCGTTCCCTCATTCTCCCTCTCCATCTTCCTCCTCCCTCTGTCTCGGTCTCTCTAGTCCCACCCGGCATCGACACGACGCTGATCCTGCTTCCTCCAACTCTCGCCTTCTCTGCAACGTCCACCCCGGGATGCTTGCTCTCTCCGCCATTTTTAGCCTCAACCTTGGTGTCCTGCTGCTGCCTGGCATTCTCTCCCGTTGCTTGTGAGGAATTGTCGCGTGAAAATGAAAAGATTGTCTCAGCTGGCGTCACGCGTTCACCTGTTTTGAATGTTATTGTAACATTTGGCGTTGTGGGACACTCGTCATAGATACTGATTCTTGTGTAAGGACTCGTCGCTAATTCTTCAGCAGACTCTACCAATGGAGCGAACTTTGACGGCAATCCTCGTTCTGTTGTGCTCTGACTTCTTGATGATTGGTGGTGGGTGTGGCTATGAGGTAATGATGATGTCATATACGATGGCGAGGACACACTCCTAGACCGATAAGTGGTCTCTATCTCTTTCATCTGTGTGGTCAGAAAGTCGGTGTCTGTGTCTCTATCGAGGCTTTCTTGTGATCCAATCGTCTTCTCTTGAAAGTAGTTTATAATTGAGTCCAGGAGACCAGAGTTTTCTTCGCCTTTCTCTGCAGCTGGGGTATCCTTTTTAGATTCTGTGGCTAGTGTGGCTTCTTTGGTAGCGCAGGAAGAACTATCTTCTGGGTTGTTGGGTGTTGGGGCAGGGATTGAGCGATCGCCAAACGGTCGTTTGTCTGGAGTGTCAGTCCTGTTGTTTGGTGACTTGTTCACGTTTCCACTCTCATCCGACATGGTCACGTTGAGGTATTGTGGACTCGATGTATTTGCGGCAATAGAGCTGTTTCCCGCCGCGATCAGCACGACCCCTTGACCGCTGCTCTCGTTACACGACATTTCAACGTATTCTTCGTCTGCATTACTTATCTCTGGTTTTGCGTCCGACGCCACTCTACTGGTAGGCACCGTAGTTCCTTGTTTCGCCACAGAGCAAAGCAAGCTCGGGTGAGGTGTGTTGGTGGTGGAGGAGGAGGTACGAGCTGGCCTATTTGGTTCCGAGGGATCGTCTGTGGGTGTTGCTTGAAGAAGAGTTACAATGTCTGAAAATGCCGGTCGCTCTTCCGGTTGCATCTTCCAGCACTGCTGCATGACGTCATACCTGTTTATAGAGAGTTACCCACATGATCATTATCCACATACTTACAGCCCAGGTCAGCTAGTCTAGTTGTGGTTTGTGGACATGTTCCTGATGTCATATCTGCATTGGTATATGTAAGCACGTAGGTGGTCTTGTTGGAAATGCTGTTGTGGTTTGTGGAGGAGATAAAAGGCTGACCCTATTAACACTATAGCCTTACACAAACAGTAGGTAGCTACATACATAAGTGAATTAAGCAACAGGTACATAATAGGTCCTTATACACAATGCAGCAGGTATATAAGTGCCTTACACAATGCAGCAATGCCTTACACAACAGGTGGTGGAGATACCAATAATATTATGATTATACTAATATTATACTAATGCTGAGTTGTTATGTAATATCTGTTTCCTTACACATGTTGGTTGCAAAGACGGGGCTTGGAGAGTCTTCGCCCACAGTCCAGATAGTCGAGAAGCTCTCTATTGTCAATGGTAGGATAGGGAAGAACCGTGCCAAGACTGAAAACCTCCCAACATGTCACCCCAAACGACCACTAGTTGAAATAGGGGTGGGGGGAGAGAGAAAATACGTAGAGTGGAGATACGGAGAGCTGCACATTGCAGTGAATCCTCGTACTCTCAGTGCATTAAAAGGTCATAAACATTAAGTTTTTTCACTGTACAGTGGAACCCCTCTCTAATGAAACCCCTGACACCTCTCTAATAAGGCTTCCCCCAAGACATGCAATTTGAGCAGTGAAATAAGGACACCACCACTTCCACTGTAGACACTTACATCTAGTGGAACAATTGATGAAACATACCACATCCGTTTTCTCGTTGCTCATTCTGTAGGCCAGACTCTCTGGCGACATCCATTTGATGGGGAGCTGCCCCTGGCTGCTCTGGCGGTAGTAATCCTGCTCATAGATCTCACGAGTCAACCCAAAATCAGCCACTTTCACCCTCAAATTCCTATCAACCCTGAAAGATAAAAATGTAAATCTCATAATGGATCCTAAAACACTGATCCTAATGGAAACATGCTAAAGTGGGTTTACAGAACTAAGCGGTGAGCATCTATTACCTATTGGCTACAGTGGGCGTGTGAATGCACTTTTTTCTTCAAAACAACACAAAATAGCAAAAGCTTTTTATGGGCGGTGTAATAATAATTATTTGTACATCCATCATTGTAGAGGAGTGATGTGAAGATATGGTGGGTGGTGGTGTAACTGACATGCAATTCCTGGCAGCCAGGTCTCTGTGAACTAGTCGCTTCTCTGCCAAGTATTCCATGCCTTTGGCCACGTCACAACACATTTGGGCCAAGAGCTCATGAGTCAGCCCCTGCAGTAACGGCCCATAATAAACCAACACATGTACGCATGTGCAAAGTTGCAAAAAGTGGGTACTGAAACACAAGCATAATAATAATACTAACAGCTCAAGCATACGTGAGGATAAGAAGTAATGGAAGCGCCTCCATCGGTCAAGTCGGCTTTTTTGCGAAGGAACTTTCTGAGGTCTCCGTTTTCCATGAACGGCATTACGAGGTACGGAGCACCAGACTTGGGATTGAGACAGAGTCCACGCAGACTCAGAATGTGGGGATGACTGAATGAGTGCATGAGGGAGCTCTCCACCAAAAGACCACGCATTTCGGCATAAGATGCGCAATCTGCGTTTGGGAAGTTGAAGCAAAATGCATACACATAATATGCGTGATATGCTCTGCTGATGAGGGCCAACAAGCCCGAAAACAGCTGTCCAGAGCTCTTCATCTTTTTTCTCTTGGCATCACATGGTCTAATACCTTCATGAGTATATACAGTGCACACTCTGAAAAATGACCCTCTGAAAAAGGACACCTTTAAAAGAAGCCTTGCTCTGTCACATTAGTGTATTATACCTCCAAATAAGGAACACCTCTGGACACTATGAATACACCCCAAAAGTGTGCCTTATCAAGAGGATGTATATTTGTACTGCCACTTACTCTTGAGGGTTTTCATGGCAACTGGCATGTGGTATTCTCGTCCATTCACATGTACGTCCTTCAGGAGACCTTTTACAACATATCCAAAAGCACCTGAGAATGACATCATTGTGACATCATTGCAGCCCTAACCTGATACTGCTAGGTAAAGGTCCCCGTGTAATAATTGGTGATGTAGCGTGAAATTACTCGTTATATGGTTCGGAGCTTACGCAACCTTTGAAGGTGGAGTTTACGGAAATGCATTATTAGGAGTTTCACAAAGTTCGGTTTGAGGTGTGGAGAATGCTAAATAGGAGTTTCACAAAGTTCGGTTTGAGGTGTGGAGAATCAATGTTTGCGTGACCTTCACTTTATTAAGCTCATTACCAAACTACAACATTCCAATTTCCCCTCTTAACTCACTTAAGGAAAACAGGCCGCAATGTTTGCATGCATTTCCCAGAATCAGATATACAGTTACCAAACTACAACATTCCAATTTCCCAGAACCATGCAGATATACAGTGGAACAATAGAATGAAGAACGAAGACACCTCTCTAAGAGCAGTTCTTGCATGCAGCATTAATAGCGGGACACCTCGCCGATGTGGACACTCCTTTCTGTCCAATTGGTGTCCTGATTAAAGGGGTTTCACCGTATGTATGTATACCTTCTCCAAGGTGCCCTGTGATGGTGACGCGTTCGAATGGAATAAGAACTCCTTCGCCGACTGCAGCCCAGTCGGCCAAGTCGAGTTGAAAAACGGCCGAGTTTTCCGTCGTGTTGCTCGCTCCACTCGATGTAGCAGTTGTACTGGCCGTAACAGGGAGTATGCTTCGCTCTACTTCACGGCTATCATCTGCAATTGAAAATTTGTTTGGCGGTTGCACACTCACGCTAACAGCAATGAAACCCCTGAGAAAAATCACCCTCCTAATAAAGGACACCTCTCTATAAGGAACACTTGGTTCTGCCCCGTAGGTATATTATACTACTTCAAGGTGCTCATAGAAGCTCATGTACAGTTGATATTGCAGTTTAGTAACAGTGAATAAAGGACACCTCTCTATAAGGAACACTGTGGTTCTGCCCCGTAGGTATATTATACTACTTCAAGGTGCTCCTATAAGCCTATCATATTATAGAAGCTCATGTACAGTTGATACTGCAGTTTAGTAACAGTGAGGTATTGCATGTGCCAAGCCAAGACAAACAGTGCTTGGCTGTTCATACAAAGGGCAGGAAATGCTTGTGTGTCAACAAAACTGGTCCCAATGTACCTTTCGTGTGCCCAAACTAGTTAAAAAGTATGTTCCAGTAAAATCAATCAGACTTCATTAAAGAATTCCAAAAAGCATGCCAACTAATTTCTGCCTGCCTGCCTAAAATATGTTTACCTTCACTGGCGCAATGAGGAACGGTGTATCGATTTGAATATATTTCTCTAACTCCCAGCAACTGTGGAAATGCACTATATACAAGACAATAAGGGGAAAGAAACGTCAAATCGATTTTTCTCTGATGATAGAAAACGTACTTTGTGTGTGAATAGGAATCTCCTGCTAGGGTTACTCCCATGCATCTGCTCCTCTTTCTCAATCTCCGTATGTAGCACCCGGAGAGTACCAACAGGACAACGATAGAAGTCCCCACAGCCGCACACACTGACGGGAGAACATAGGCCAGTGCAATGTTTCTCATATTGTCTCCTTCTCTCGTTACGTCGTTTTGAGTCACCGACACCTCGTAGGCTGTAGTCACAACTCCAGTCGTGCTTTCTGGGTGTGTTTCTATCCCAGTCAATACTGTGATTGATGATATATAGTGTCGAGGTTCAAAGAGGTTTATATATAGGCAAAATGTGTATAATGACTTATGTTAGGTGTGTAGGAGAGGAAAATAATGATAAATGGGAGACCATACTGGGGCACTGGGGGAGTGTCGGAGGTAATTTTTGACAAGTGATTCATAGATTTGAGACGCAAACACGATAACGCTGTGCCAAGTGAGTTAACTCTCAACGAGACATAGATACACACCTTGGTAGCAGGTATTTGTTGACTCGTTAGCACCTTTCAAGAACGAATGGTTTGCTGAACAATCTGTGTACGCATCGAGATCCCCAGTTTCCCCCGTCTCATTCAGAGCTTTGTTAACTTCAGCAAAGAATGGCAAACAACTGTTCCGTGTCGTGTACTCCAAACACGTAGTTTCGCACAATCCAATTGGCAGGGTGGTAGTTGGCTCACATCCAAGATACATTGAATTGCAGACGATTGCGAGGAACACCTCTCCACACCAACGAACTGTATCACTATCACTTCCCTGGTTGACCAATGTGTGTATGGCTCTCTCAACAGAGTCTACTACCGAGTTGTTTCTTCTGATTGGAGTACTATGTTGCATCTGTCTTGTAGAAACTTTGAGCAACTGCTGTGGATTAGGCCCATGTCTTTAGCATCAGAGACGGCTATACAGACACCACTTCTGAGTGAAAAGCAGGAGATGTCAGGCACTATCGTTCTATCGCTGCTGATTTTGTATAGTGCATTATACTATGCCCCCTGACCACGCATGCATGTGTGTGTGTGTGCCATAATGCATGCAGCCGTACTTGTGTAATTCAGTTTGTATGGCTTTTACCTGTTTTGAGTTGGCAGTACATTAGTATCGTTACTCGACGTGTTCCTCTGCAGATCATCGCATTGTATCTCAGCTGCAACTACTGCCATCAATCCTGCACATCATTTGTTAGCCGTTTAAGTGAATCTTCCAGACTTATTGCTACCAAATTCATAATTTACGATTAATTAACTCACCTGTGACTAGGACAATGTAGAACAAAGTAGCCATCATTTCCAAGTTCTCTTACTACAGTTTGTGTGTGTAGCTAAAGGGCTGCCTCTATAGCTACTATGCCACTGTACACTCAGGTGGCTCCAGCCAACAGTTGCAGGATTGTGACTCTGAATAGACATCTGTCACGTCTTATACCCTGGTAGGGGGATACCATGCCAATTGCATGCCGCCAACTGCCAGGTATGTGGTTACTGGGCCCAGCAAGCACACATGGAACTCTGTGTGTGAGCTAACAATGTGGTCGCACTGCTGTTATGTGTCTGCGGTAACTTTACCCGTATTGATTTAGCATTATTGCTATACGCTTGATCACAGCTCGACAAGTCTACTATAATATAGCACAGTCTGGTAGGTAACCATATAGCTACATGTGTTGCATCAATAAGTGTTTTGTTGTACACAGGTACTAACACTTACCTCAAGAATGAAGTAATTGGAATTGTGTTTCCACACATTATGTTGCATGTATATACTGTGGTTGGATTACCTATGACCCCTTCCCACGTACTATATACCAATAATTGCAGGGCCTATTATTATAGTCTCATGCTGTATATACGTTGCTAAACTGAACCGTCTGCCCAATATATAGTTGACAGCAGTTGATCAATTAGAAACAAGAGCTCAATGACCTGACGGGTTAGATTTAAATGATCAACCAACTTGTGTTGTATTGCACCAATAGATAATTATACAAGTCCTGTTCAGATTTCACACAAAATTGGTTTGCACGAAAGTTCACTATAACATTTACCCTATTATTAATAATAGGAAGGTTATAATATTAGCAAAACATTATGAAAACACACAGGGATTATTGTAGATTTGGTTTCTAAGAGCTGTCTGGGCTGTCGCCCTCTTGGAGAGTGGTCAGTCTGATTGGTGTAGCCGGAGCCATCTCGAGGTATGCACTGACTACGCTGCTAGCACTGAGGTCGTTCTGCAGAAAGGACTCTCTGGGGATGCTGTGAGGGAACTCGTAGCTCACGGAGCGGAGGAGAGGGGACGGCATCTGCGGAGTGTGCTTCGAGGGTATGGATCGAGACAATGCAAAGTAAGTGCATATCAACTGCATCAGAACAACACTTTTTTCAGTTAAAAAAGAGGTTTAATGAACCGGCAGCACTCTACGTAGAAAGACTGCTCACTGAGCTATATAGCTACCAGGGCAGCTCTCAACTACACCCAGGACAGCAATTATTTCAAGAAGATAAGAATGATGACCTCTGCCACTAGTTCAGTTGATTACCCACCGTATAGAGGTGGAGTTAGTAAAGCTAGTAGCTACCCACAATAATGGTAAGAATATACACTCACTTCAAAGTGCTCGTGACAAAACGATCTGTTCCTGCTGTGCGGTACTTCAGTGTATCTGGCAGAGTTGTTATCATAACCAAAGGACATCGACCCGTTAGCAAACACAGTCGAGTCGTCCGACGTTGTGTAATTATCAGAGGAGCTGAAGTCGCTTACATCTACATAGCTCCCCTTGGCGCGAGCTCCTGGGCTGTAGTAGTCGCCACATGACTCAGTTCTGCTGTGAATAAGGAGTGTCTGCAGCATCTCCATCATCCCTTCGAATGTCGGTCTGTTGTCTGGGTCGTCTTTCCAGCAGAGTAGAATGATGTCATAGCTAATTATAGATTATAATTATAGGTGAAGTTACTGCTCGGGGACACAAGTATTGGGTTCCTCTAACCGGACAACGAACTGAAAAATATTGGAGTTGACCAAAGCCTCTAACTCAAAAGGGTTTGTATTCAACTTTTATACAGGCTAAAATCGAAAATGAGACAAGGCCTATGATACTGAATTGCATGTTTTTCTCACAATCTGTCGCTGCAGAGGGCTGGTTTTTGTAGGCGTCGTCCGTTGACCAGGTAATCGACAACTTCTGAGTTAGTGATGGTTGGATAAGGCACTCGACCCAGACTGAACACCTCCCAACACGTCACTCCATATGACCACTGCATCCGGTGGGAAACAGTAGTAAATTGAAATGTACTCCCTTAACCTTATATGATGCCTGAATCATACCATATCTGATTTTTCGCTGCTGATGTGATCTAGAAGACTCTCAGGGGCCATCCATTTGACTGGAACCTGCCCTCGACTGCTCTGTCTGTAGTAGTCCTTCTGATAAATATCCCTCGTGAGCCCGAAATCAGCAACCTTGACTGTGTGATCGCGATCCATCCTGCAGAAATTTTGCTGTGAAATAGTTTTTTCTCCAAGCTACATAGTTATCTACAGTTTAGCTATCAAGAAATTTACTGTAGAACACCCAAATTTGAAGTTAGCGATACAGTTCTTTTTCAAGTGATGACACTTCAAAAAAGACTGTGGGTTGACTAAAACATTCACCTATGTATATACCATAGACAGCTAAACTAGTATTTCCAACCGTTTGTAGCAGCAGGTAAGCTGTTGTTTAGCACCCATTTCACAGCTAGTTTCTCTTACATGCAGTTTCTCGCTGCCAGATCTCTGTGGACGAGTTTTCTCGACGCGAGGTACTCCATTCCGCAGGCTATTTGATAGCACATGCCCAACAGAGTGTCGTGACTCAGCTCCTGCAGTACACAGCAAACAGCGTAATTTATAGCATCAACAGAAATAAACTCCCATGACAAAGACTGTTCACCTGTTATTGATTTATAGTCTAGCTTTAATCGTTGCAAAATCCATATATCATTCATAACCCATACAGCTATACATTGGGTTCGATTATTACCCACTTTTTGTAATTAATTTTGATACCATAGCAAGTTAAAAATGCCTGCATTATACATAATAGCTCTGAAAATCAGAGGGCATAGCTATACAAATGATTTGTAAGCCGTCTTACGTCAGGATAAGTGAGGTCCACCATATTATTGACGCCACGTTTCTTCCTGAGGAAAGTCTTGAGGTCTCCGTTGCTCATGAACGGGAGAATGAGGTAGGGAGACTGACTCTCCTCGTCCAGACAGATTCCCTCCATCCCCAGGACATTGGGGTGGGAGAAGGTGCACATGATGGAGCTCTCTTCCAGGAAGCTTTTGAGCTCGTGATAGGCCGAGTTGTCTGTAGTAATATCTGGTTCAATTAGGTGGGAGTGTGGCAGCATATAAGGGCTAAATTTAGAATGGGCTTAGTGGAAGACGTGCAATATTATTATTTTTTTTTAAAATTCTTTTTTCAGTAACAATCTAGCCCTTACATTCCCTTTAAATGTATAGGCTGGGCCAAATGATAATAATACATCTGACATTAATGATATTGCAGAATGCAGTACAAGGGACGATTGGATGCTAAAAAATGCAAGGTGTTCTCACTTTTGATGGTCTTGATGGCAACTCCGATTTCTTCCCCGCCTTTCTCTGTGAGTATCCCCTTATAGACACAGCCAAATGCACCTGCAATTGAAACAAACGTGTTGAAGCAACAACGAGAACTTGAGCGTGTTCCAGCAAAATCCGCACACACACACACACGATAGCTACACTCAGTAATAGTTCAACCCCATACGAAAGGATAATATAGTGAAATATTGCTGCTATATATAACTCTTACAGTGTTTTCCGGCACATGTGTGGTGCATGTATTACACTTCCTGGGTGAGCTCAAGTTTCACATAATGAATTGAATTTGGTAAGAGTATCTAGCTGTTTGTGTCGAGCACATGACATCAGGCAGTCTCTGGTAAAAAATCACCCTAGCCCTTTTTCGTGTAGGCGTTGATGAAAGACTTTCCCAGCAAGAGAAAGTTGTGGGTTTACTTCACCAACTCACTTTTTCCAGCGAGCAAGCTGTATCATATATAGCCCATTCCTACTGTTTAACTAACACCGTGTCTTTGATGCTAAATTGTAGCGAAACCAGCAACATTATTATTGGCCATTGTAGGTTCCCCATTTACGTGGTTAAAATCTCGTGCCAATGATTCCTAATTCAGTTATAGTCTCACGTGACACACTGTGACATAATGCACTGTGGGACCAACTAACGAAGAAGATCTGACATGCAAGACTTTAATTGTGGTGTGCGTAAACCATAAAGGTTCATGTATACCTTCTCCAAGGTCGCCAGTAATCTTGACCTGATTGAAGGGAATGAGGGCATTCTTCAGCTCTTGGCTGAGGAGACTGATGTCTTCTGGCGTCAGTTTGAACTTTCCCACCGGATCATAATATTCTGAACTCGTCACCGATTCTATTAGATAATTCACACCATTTTGCGATATGGTTGATCATATCCATGTTTGTATATAGCTAATTATACCTCTTGGGTGTCTAAGACGATCGTTGATTCCATAGTTATTTAGTGAGCATCGCCTATCAGCACTCATACTCTCACTGTGCAGAAAACAACTCAGAATTCATGCACGAAAAGTGAGTGGAGATATCTATTGCAGTAATGTTCTTACATCAAATTTCTTCTGATTGTCTGTTTCTGCTTTTTCACACGTCGAATGTACACGAGCAGAGTGAAGAGTAAGGCCCCGGCAATTAGAAACACCACAGCACCGACGGCAAACGATGCTCCAAACAGTGCACCAGTGTTGTTATCTCCGGGAGATTTTGTGGGCTCCGAACCGTCTCGACTTTTGGTGGTAACAGCAATGACGGGATTTTCTACCACTTCTGTTTTGGAACGAAAATCATTGCTAAGACGGCTAATACTGTGCGATTATGCCATGCGCATGCGCGCCCCCATCTACCTGACATGTTGATGCAACCTTCTTGGTCCAGAGTGATATTTTCCAGCGACGGATCGTGAACCTTACGTACCACAGCGGGTTATCGCACTCTGGCGTGAACACGAAACTGCTCCCCGTAGCCAGTGCGAAGTTGGCGAGCCATGCAAACGACGGAGCGCAGTCTCCTATTTCGACGTAATCCGCGCAGCTCCCTGCGCAGATTCCCTGCGCCAACCGCGTCCTACTGTTGCAGCCGACGTAGTAATAGTTGCACACGAACGCTCGGATAACGTCCCGGCACTCCGTATTGATGTGTATGTCTGAACTTCCCAACAGGGCTGCGTTGAGAAAACTCAACTCGTCCCGCGCCCTTTCGTAGTCGAGGTAGTCGTGCAAGAAGCAACGTTCCCGTAGAAACGGACGGCATACATCGTACACTTTCGTCTCCAAATTATCGTCAGTCAGTTGTACGCACCTGTGAACAGAATAATTATATTGGTCAAGGACGCCTGATTATTCCCAATAGAACTTACTGTGGCAAAGGGTTATTATTGAACGTTTCATCTCCTGACGCAGATCCACCGCTAGTTTCAGGCTCAGTGTTGTTGAAGTTACACGAGACTCGCTCTGTCTGTCCACGAACACATAGAAAACTGCAGAACACTACTGAAGGTGGAAAGCAATAGCTACATCATTCGCTTTTAGAAAACACAATGTTTCAACTGCAGACTCACCTGTGACAGCAACCATCCATTGTAAGCAAGTGAGCCAATTGCAGTGCATTGCGAACGTTTGACAAGAGGCTGTAGCTAAGCCAACTCCTGAGGGACATCAGGGACCTATAGCCTACCTTAGAACTAGCATCAAATGCAGACAATAAGACATGTAGGTATATACTGTCGCGCCACGACAGGTCACGTTGCGCTGATGGATCATGCTGGGTATTATGTAAAGCTCTGCATGCCAAGAATGATGGTTTTCACATACTTCCAAATTCTAGAATTACCGCGTTGAAGTGCTGAGAAATCATTTAATAATAATGCTCGACACCTGAGCCCATCCACAGTATGCAATCTGTTTGTCTCAACCAGGCAAAACAGTAGCCATCTCAATGATGCAGAGAATGGTGTAGGAGGGTGTCAGCGGACATTGCTAATGTGATATATATATAGCTTCAGGGCAAGCGAAATGTGATGCGGGTTGAAGGCACAAAATGTCACTCTTCAGAAGGGCCATGTTTGCGCATGCGCCGTAATTACGTAATGGTCCGGCAAAGACAGTTGAGTCAGCAGCTATGATAGCCGTTGTCCACCTTCTGAAAATTTTCTGCGACAGTTGCTGAGCCCTTGACGTTTCTCATGGCACTAAAAGTCCTCACGCTGAACGTTTGGTACGTTTGCAGATCCTCACAGTCGGTGGAAACCTTCGCTAGCCAAGAAGTTTATGATTGTAGCTCGCTAATATTGAGCTAGCTACTCATATTCTTGCTCCAGGGGACTTCATATCTTCGCCAAGAGAATACGCGAGCGGCTACACTACATTTCTCAAGAGCTGGAAGGCTATGATATCGTGGGCCTTCAAGAAGTAAGGACTACGTAATGCATTTGATCCCGCGTGGTGGAACTGTGTCCGATAGGTTTGGAGCCAGGATGACTATCTGTTTCTGGTAGAGCGACTAAGAAGGATCCTTCCCTACTCTTTCCGCTCCAAAAGGTGAACTTGGTATTCAACCTTCCCCTTGCTAATCTTTCTTCAATTATATCATGGACTACTGATAGCCTGATTTAACTCTGTTGGCTGATAGACTGTGGTCTATCTTGTATATTTTCTCTCTAACTGATAGCATGTGATCTGACCCCTTCTTTACCCCCTCCCCCTCTCCCTATAATCATTGCCATACACGCAGTGGGCTGATAGACTGTGGTCTATCTTGTACTGATAGAATGAAAAGCACTGAAGTGCAAACCCTCGGCGCATTGTGACGCGCACGCGTAAGTAAACGCATGCGCCGTACCACTAATTGATGGGCTGGGTTTAGTTTTATCTGTTACTCGTGGTCTCTTCCCAGCTCGCGCAGAGTCTGACGCGGGCTAACTACACTACTAGATAGCATGCGAGAGGCGATACACGCCCTGCGTTGCATCTTCTGGTGCCTCTGAGGTACGCAGAGCACGCGGATCGATCAGACCGTGGTAAGCCATCCCGTCCGTTGCCTATTTGCATATTAGCTTTTTCGCGCTCTAGCTCTGCAACGGAGCAGTTTCAGAGAAAACCCCACATATTTTCTGACCTTCATTTCCCGTTCAGTAGGTGGTATCCTTTGTGAGACGAACGAACACTCGAGAAGTGAGATGACGAGTAACAGACAGACACACACACAGACAGACAGACAGACAAACCCAACTACCGTAACCCTCGCTGCGCATGCGCGCCGAGGGTTAATAATCTAACCCCCTCTTTACCACCTCCCCCCTCTCCCTATAATCATTGTTATATACACACGCAGTGGGCTGATAGACAGTGGTCTATCTTTTAATCTTCTTATAGAATGATCTAACCCCCTCTTTGCCCCCTCCTCTAATACACGTGCAGTGGAATGATAGGCAGTGGTCTGTGTGTCTTCTCTCGCTACCCCATCATGGCGGTCCACTCCCAGCAGTTCACGACCAGCGGGGCCCTCAGAGAGCTCACCAGTGGAGAGGTTTTTTCAGGGAAAGGGATGCTGTCTTGCAGGATTATGACGCCAAACGGACCTCTTCTCTTTGTCACCACACACGTGAGTGAAACCATAGACTGTGTCATCATGCATCTGGTCCACATGGTGAAACTAGAACTGTTTAAGAGATATATAGAGCCCTGTGCAAGAATGCAATAAATTTCTATTTCTGTAAACTCGATGTCTGTTTAAAACAGTGCCTAAAACAGTGCCTATTAGTTAGTGCATCGGGACCAACGTTCTTATTTTCTTTATTACATATCGTCCACAGACAAACGGTTGTTGTCGCGAGAGCCAGATGTACGAGATGACCAAACTGATTGATAATTACCGTGGGAACGACCTCGTTGTTCTCTGTGGGGACTTCAACACAGGCGACACTCACCCTGCCTACCGACTCATCACCACCTACCTTGGCCTCAAGGCTAGTCATTGACCCTTATACAGTGGAACCTCCGAACAAGGGACACTATGGGGCCAACGATTTTGTCCTTTGTAGAGAGGTTGTCCCTATCTTGGAGGTCAAATAATACACTAAAGTATTAGCAGGGGTTGTGTCCTTTGTAGAGAGGTCGTCCCTATCTCTGAGGTCAAATAGTATTAGCATGGGGGTTGAAACAAGTGTCCCTTGTAGAGAGCTCGTCCCTATCTCTGAGGTCAAATAATACACTAAAGTATTAGCATGGGGTTGAAACAAGTGTCCTTTGTAGAGAGGTTGTCCCTATCTCGGAGGGTCCCTTATCGGAGGTTCCACTGTAGCAGCTAACACTATACACTAAGTATGTATGTATTATGGCGGGGGACTTCAGAAATGTCTTGGATTACTAATCACTTGTTTAGTTGCATGAGAAATTGGAATATCTGCCATACAGAGCAAACTTTGGCACATTGATGTCGTGCCTCATATTTTGCCGGTGTTTCTGCTACACTTGAAACGCTACCACAATGGCATGTGTGTATATATAATAGAAAAATTTACCAAAAAGCGGCAGAAGCAAGTAACGTCATTTTCAAAAGTGTATCTTAAAAGAGCTAACCCTTTCCTCTCCCATAAGTGATGGAACCCTGCAACTCATTTCTCCTTGCTCTGATTTTTCCAGGATGCCTTTGCTGGTTGTTCGGTCAACACCTGTAACCTGGGCAGCAATATCTACACCAAGAGGGTGCGGCCGGCCAGAATCGACTTCATCTTCTACTCCAGCGACACCTGTCCCACCTCTCAGATGGAGGTTCAGGTATAATACTTAGCACTATAGGGAATGTGGCAGTATAATTATACGTAAGGGCTAAATATAGATAGAAAGAACGAAATAACATGAAATTCTGTTCTGAATGTGTTGCATGTATAATACTGCAGAGCAAGCGGCTGGCAGCGCGTAAGGGCTAAATATAGAATAACGACAGGGACTCCCAGTGCATGAAATTATGCCTTATCTGTTCTGAATGTGTTGTGTGTATATGTAACTGCAGAGCAAGCGGCTGGCTCTGTCGGGCAATATTCCCGGCAAGGATTTCCCGTACTCTGACCACGAGGGACTGGAAGTCGTGTTTTCTCTTAACGAGAGGGTTGAACCCATGCCACCCAGGAGCCTTCTGCTGAGCGGTATGCATGTAGCTATATACATACGTTACGGTTCACCGCTTATTTTTCATGCTACGTGTCATTGTGCAGAACTTTAAGAGTGTTTCTGACCAAAACTGCTTGATGTTTTTAACTGTCTCTCGTGCAATGGATTTGGTATATAAAAGGCCTGGAACGAGGTCACACTACTGAGTGTATATAATTGCCGAGCGCGTTAGCGTGAGGCAACTACTCCGGGTTGTATTCTCACGATATGCGTACGTACGTGTCCGTCACGCTTAAGAATGTCAATTAGTCACGCTTATGGAATGTCAATTAGTCACGCTTAGGAATGTCAATTTCCGCCGTGCTTGCAGATTCGTAGGAAGTCTGGCTTCGCACGCAGTCAGTACAGCGCGCGCACGAGCGGCCTCAGTCGGACTGTTTACGCATTGGCTGGCAGGTCGCGAGGCAAAATATGCGCGTGTGCATTCCTAGTATGGCTGGAGTTCTTGCTGCTTCACATACCTATTAATTATAGCTTCATTCCTAAGCCTTCCCTGCAACTACTGTATATACCGCTATGCTAGATGTATAATTATACCTCATCAACATGTGTAATCAACTATTATGCTGCACGTGTGCAGACAAAAGGCGTTAGTTTTCACTTTTCGTTTGTGCAGTTGCAGCAGTGGAAGTGCTGGAAGAAGTGGCGCAGAGAATATGCAATCGAAAGAAGAAGTTTGAAGCGCCTCATCCCCATCGCAGGGCCATGGCGATTGCCGGGGGTTTCCTGGCAGTTATCCTACTTATTGCGCTGATCTTAGGAAACAATCCAGTCATGATGTTTCTCGGAACTCGCTCGCTCGGTTATTTCTCTGTCGTCGGAGTCGGGATTCTGGGGATGTGTCTCATGTGGGCATGGCTGATTCCGATGTTTAACATCACGCACGTGAATGGAATGGAGACGCACATGGACGAGATTCGTACGAGGCTCAGTTACAACACGATCCTTGCTGAGTCGGACGGCAATGGTTATCGTCTTATGTAATGCGCTTCACTTTGTGAAATACATATATAGCACAAACTGGATTATGACTTACTAGTTATAGTGAAATTTTTTGGTATAATGTTAATAGCAGGAACTACACTGTTTGTATACGCAGTATAATCGTTGACGAATATGACATCATTATGGAAATGTTAAATGTTTGGGCATAATTATAAAGGACACACCGAACGAAAAATGGGAGAAGCCGTTCAATCAACAGTCCACTGTATGTATAGCAATAGAAAGCGAGATAGATATAGCGACACAGTAATGTAAGGATAACTGACCTTCATTGCTGGTTCTCTCCTCCTCCTGCCCCAGACGTTGCCCTCGCTTGTCTCTCAGCCTCTTCCCTTCTCCTCTGCTTAGCCTTGACCGCCTCGGGGTTCTTTAGCCCCCTCGCTTCTGCCTGAGACAGTCGGGAAAGAAGAGAGAGAGCATTCACAGAGGGAGACAGAGTGCTGGAATAAAGGGAGTGGCTCACCTCTTGTTGTCTTTTGAGGGCCGCTTCAGCTTGTCTCTGCCGCCTCAACTCCTAAAGCGAGAGACGTAGACTAAGTATACGCATAGGAAACTAATTTACCTCTTGGGTGTTGTATAGCAGAGAACTCACCGCGTCTTCGTCAGGGACGTTCGGAGACGCCGGAGTCGGATCGACCTCGAAACAGTTCCCCATCTTTTTTGGGGAAGTGTTTGCGCATGCGTGTCTACTAGGTCACGTGATTATCCCGTGACAACCCACCTCCTTTCTGCCCCCTTTTCGCGTTTCTGAGCCTTCTCCCTTCCCTGTTCCCTTCTTCGTCGTCGTTTCCGCTCCGTCAGAGAGATAAGATAGATGGCGGCGCACCACGATACCTCTGGCGGCCACCGGCCTCCAAGAAAAGCAAGACGGACGACGGAGCCGCTAGCAACAACGGGTCTTCCTACATACCGACGGAGAGAGACTCGGGCCTCCAGTTCTCGGTCGTGTTCTCCATGAAGGAGGAGAAGGGCGCTCTCGTGAAGGCCCTGGAACTGTGCAAGGTGAGGCGGCATAGTGTAAAAGTCACTGGTGCCCATCTAGTCTCGATGGTATGGCTGAGGCTGGTATATAGCTACCGAGACTAAATGCCTTGTTGGCAAGCTCACGACCCTCAGCTTCTTCCACACAAATTACTTTTGACTGCTCTATTGAATAACGTGTGCATGTAGCACCCCATTGTCTATATGATACCCACACTTTACTTCTTTATAATGCACATGTTTGGTACTAAACGAATGCGATGCGTTTCTGGTAAACCAACATGTACACATCACATAGCGTGAACTGCTCGTCACACATGCGCATGGTCAAGTGAAAATCCTGCAATTTACACGAACAATAACTTCCAGGCTCGCTTTGCTTGTTGACACAAAGGCAGAGCATTTGGCGTTGTGTACACTGTGGACCGTATGCATATGTATACACAATCGTATGGTGTGTGTTGGAGCACTCTGCTTCAATGGGTGCCCTATAATTGGGATACCCTTGACCGAGAGAAAGATTATCCAGTATAATTATGGTGTACCAACCTTGGAGGAGTTCATTTGGGTCTAATGTTTCCAGAGATTTGTGTACGTGAGCTGCTTGAGCGAGTGAGCCTAAAAAGTAATTTTAGTCAAGTTACTCCTCTTTCTCCCATCTCTGTCTTCCCTCCTTTCCTATTTCCCCTCCCTCTGTCTCTGTCTTCCTTCTTTCTCCTCGCTCTCCTTCTCCTTCTCTCTCCCCCTCTCCCTTCTCTCTTCCCTCTTATTCTTCTCCCTTCTTCACTCTTTCCCCTCTCTCCCCCCTCGCCCTCTCTCCCCTCTCTCCCCTCTCCCTCAAGAATCTGAGTGTAAACCTGACCCACATCGAGTCGCGACCGTCGGTCAACAACGCAGGCAACGAGTACGATTTCTTCATGGACTGCAAGTGTGAAGCCAGTGTGAAGGAAGACTTTCTGTCTCAGCTTAAGTCTTTGGCTCTCTCAGTGAAAGTTTTGGCCAGAACTCCCAGCGAGGACGAAGGTACGTTTCTCTCATACATCGGTTACTCTCTCTTCTTCTCCATCCCTCCTCCCCAAGTTCGTTTGTTTCTCTGTCTAGTGTACATGTACTGTCTAATGCCTCAACCTAAATACAGTGGAACCTCCGATAAGGGACCCTCTGATAGAGGGACGACCTCTCTACAAGGGGCACTTGCTTCAACCCCATGCTAATACTTTAGTGTATTATTTGACCTCTGAGATGGACGACCTCTCTACAATGGACCTTAGTTTAACCCCATGCTATTATTTGACCTCCGAGATAGGGACGACCTCTCTACAAAGGACATTAGTTTCAACCCCATGCTAATACTTTAGTGTATTATTTGACCTCCGAGATAGGGACGACCTCTCTACAAGGGACAAAATCGTTAGCCCCTATAGTGTCCCTTGTTCAGTGTATGTATGTTTATTTCAGTGCCATGGTTTCCGAGACATATCCAAGAACTGGACAAGTTCGCAAACCGAGTCCTTTCGTATGGAGCTGAGCTAGACTCTGACCACCCGGTACGTTTGACTAATAACTATATTATGTGTGTGTGGTATTATTTTCTCCATGCTGTGCTGCAAGTAATATTGTATCCACCGATGTTGGTTTAAGGGTTTTACCGATGAGGTTTACAAGGCAAGAAGAAAGGAGTTTGCAGATATTGCTTACAACTACAAGCAGTAAGCTGCCGTACGTGTAATAGAACATCTCTCTAAGAACAGCCCTGAAATGAGTTTCCCCAAGTTTATTGTATTTAACCCCTGAAATGAGGACACCTCTCTAATGGTGCCTTTTCTTTCCCCAAGTTTATTGCATTTAACCCCTGAAACGTGGACACCTCATTACACTGTGGATTAGAGGAGTCTTGATTTTTTATTGCAATTATTTGTCCCGATGTTTTGCAGTGGTGAGCCTATTCCACGGGTGGAGTATACTGAGCAAGAGAAGGCTACCTGGTATGTGTGTTGTCGTCATTTTAGGCTGTCTAAAACCGTTTGCACCTCTCTCTCTCTCTCTCTCTCTCTCTCTCACACACACAATCTCTCTCTCTCTTCCCCTCTCTCCCTCCTTTCTTTGACTCATCCCAAGGCGTACAATATTCAGAGAACTGACAAAGCTGTATCCGACGCACGCATGCAAGGAATTCAACCACGTCTTTCCACTGCTTAAAGAAAACTGTGGCTACAGGTAAATGGTTGTACTGATACACCAGTGTTTCCCGGGATTGAAAAATCCCGAAAATGGGCGTGTACAAATTATTGCGCATGCGTAAAATGCAACTAACGGGGTGTTACACTGTGTGCGCACAGTCAGTATAGTAAATGCGCTGCTTATAGAGTAGCACTTGAAAGGCTTTAGGCCAGTAGGGATTTCCCAACAGGAAGTGGTTTGAAACGTGAGTATTATTATAGCAAGTAATGTTTTTCAGCCAGAATAATTCATAAGCACCCTGTTTGAATATTACCCTGTGGGAAACACTGGATACACGCGAGCAACTTCTCATCCTAAGACATCTTGGAAGAGGTTTTCACATGCGAGAGCTCATATACACCGAGGCATGTTTTGCTGAATATGTCTAGTTGTTTGTGTCACGTTCACTAAGTGCTTGCTGTGCCCTTTCTCTCTGCAACGCAAGTGTACATGTAGAAAAAACCATGTGATGCCAAGAGAAAAAAGATGGGAGCTCTGGACAGCTGTTTCGGGGCTTGTTGGCCCTCATCAGCAGAGCATACCGCAACCGCTCTCTCTGGCATCACGAGTTTATAAAAGCTGACATGAGCGCGGCACCTGTGGTTCTGAACTAATGAGATTCATCCCCACAAAGCTTTGCCACTGGTATGCGCTGCAGACCATGCCCAGACATTCACATGTCATCAGTTGTTACAGCGCAAGGTGCTTATAAGAATCACTAGCTTCAAACTGCTTTTTTTGGGGATATGTGGATTGTCGTTTGTTGTCCATGCAGCGAGGATACCATCCCACAGTTGCAAGTGGTGTCGGATTTTCTGAAGAAGTGTACCGGATTTACGCTGCGTCCTGTTGCAGGTGAGGAAAGATATGATACTAGCACTTTGTGAATCCACCACACTTAACACTTAACCAGCCACAGGCACACAAATGTGTCGGCAGCCTCCTTAAGTCCATAATAATTTATACGGGGGTTATAATACTAGGTGCTAATACTTTATACATTAATTTGTGCTTATATAAGAAGATACCCATGAGTGACCATTTGTTAACCACTTTACCATATTACTACGTAAAGAAATTGGTTGATGGGTAGGTGGGCCTGCTTTACTCGAGTTCTCTTTCCTTGTGCTCCTCTCGTTCTACGTAGGCCTCTTATCGTCGCGTGATTTCCTGACGGGGACTGGCGTTCAGAGTCTTCCATTCGACGCAGTACATCCGCCACTCCTCCAAACCAATGTACACTCCGGAGCCGGACGTCTGCCACGAACTGCTGGGCCACGCGGCCCTCTTCTGCGACCCCAGTTTCGCCCAATTCTCTCAGGTTCTCTAAAAATGTGGGCAGTGCGGCTAAATTAGGAAACGTTACTAAAAATGGAGACATTACATACTTGCATTCTTGCACTGATCTCTACTACTATCTTTACAAATCTTTAAGACACCACCTATCATATTTTCCCATGCACTCCCGGTCAAAATTTTTGTTGGTTCAAGCACTACAATAATTATAGTTTCATGTGTATGCCATAAGGGTGCACAGTTGAGTGTGTTATGATATGAGTGCTACTGTATATTTCTAACTGACTGCAGGAGATAGGACTGGCTTGTCTCGGTGCTCCAGACGAATACGTCGAGAAGCTTGCGTCTGTAAGTCAAATCTCTCTTGTTACCATCACTGGGAGCTTAAACTATTAGAGAGGTGTATATATATATTATGAAGGAATGGTTCAGGGTCTAAGCTACATGTTGCATGGGATGTCACTGACATCATTAAATGTATTGGTCCATCATACCCACTTTATCAATCGTATACATGAGGCTTTTTGCAGGATTCCTAAGCATTATAATGTACACGTGTGTGCAATTACATGCTCAATCTACATGTTTTATGAGCCAATTCAGTTGAATAGTATATACCACTGGCATTGGCATTAAAGCTACACCACATGTTCTGGCACATGGAGTGTGTGCCCAGACCACATGGAGTTGCTCCTTTACCTAAAAACGGCCAACAGGCACGATGCTATTTTTTTATGCGAGAGAGGCAGCACACAGCTTGTAAGGGGTTACTTTGGACCAGAGGTAATATACCTTTACATTATCAGTGTCTGCATTACATAACCCAAATCCATGTGTAATACCGCCCTTGGTGTCCCAAATTAGTTTTATGACAAAAATTGAACTATGGTTGTCATTAGATTTATTCCCTACACACTATCTAATACATACTTGCAGCTGTACTGGTTCACCATAGAGTTTGGGCTGTGCAAACAGGAGGGAGAGGTGAAGGCTTACGGAGCTGGTCTCCTCTCTTCCTTTGGAGAACTACAGGTTCGAAATTCTCACAAAAATGCTCTACTTAATTCTGTATGCAACACGTTTTTGGCGAGCAAACACGAGTTTAGAGAACTGGTCTCACAGACTGATCAAATACTTAAACCATCGCAAATGCACATTATTGGCAAACGCAAATACGTAATTTCAGCTGTTAGGGGTATGGGTGGCAGCACCTCGGATAGAGAACTTTAACGATCACAAATGCACATTATTGGCAAACTTGCAAATACGTAATTTCAGCTGTTAGGGGTATGGGTGGCAGCACCTGGATAGAAATATTTTAGACAGTGTTGTATTACTTTACTATGGCATTACTAGAGGTAGTAGTATGTACTCTGGGAGGGAATCCAATCCCCATCACCTGATGTTTGGGAATAGTAAAAGCAGTGAGTTTTTCTTAGCTAGGTTGCAAAATAGAAGACACTCTGCTGATATACGGAATTACAACAATGTCAATGGATGCCGGAAAGGGTCTAGTGCATTGTACATATAGATAGTGCGTTTACTCTGTGTTTTTTCCCAAAGAATAGAAGCTGAGTGTGACAGGTGGCTCAGCGTCTGTTTCTGTCTTTGGGACTGCCTCGTGAATATTGTTGACGAGGTAGTATTGCTGATGGTTGTAGTTCCCAACATCATAGATGACATTTGTGCTGGGAAAGATCGTCTGTTGTCACAACTACACTTGGCTCGCTCCCACACTTGATCGAAACCAGCGTGCTTTATTCAGAGTGGCCGGTTCACTCTTTGTCTCAATGCCAATATACACCCTCCCTCATTCAGAAAACTCTAGACTCTTGTGTTTCTGTAGCTATTAATTATTATCATGTGCTGAAATGCTGAACAACACATGCATGCACCCACAGGTATTTTAAGCTGTTTGATTCTTCAGTGGCCCCGTGAATAACATGATTATCACGTCTTTCCCTTTCTCTTCCATCTTCTCCTCTCCCTCTCTCGCCCTCCCCCTCACGCCCCCTGCCCCACCCTTACAGTATTGTCTGAGTGACACTCCAGAAGTTCGTCCACTGCATCCGTTCAAAACGGCCATTCAGAAATACCCAATCACCGAGATGCAGCCAGTTTACTTTCTCGCCGATAGCTTCGCAGGCGGAAAGAAAAAGATCATGTAAGACCCAGGTTTAAGTTTCATTAAGCGTGTAAGTGCTGGCGAGAATAGCTTTCTTGGGTTATGGGTTGAAACAAGTGTCATTTGTAGAGAGGTCGTCCCTATCTCAGAGGTCAAATAATACACTAAAGTATTAGCATGGGGTTGAAACAAGTGTCATTTGTAGAGAGGTCGTCCCTATCTCTGGGGTCAAATAATACACTAAAGTATTAGCATGGGGTTGAAACAAGTGTCCTTTATAGAGAGGTTGTCCCTATCTCGGAGGGTCCCTTATCGGAGGTTCCACTTTCATAGTGTGCATGCTCAGAGTGATCTGTGTGCCGGACAAGAATTCCTTAACATGCTAATACTATTTGACCCCAGAGATAGAGACGACCTCTCTACAAGGGGCAAAATTGTTGGCCCCATAGTGTCCCTTGTTCAGAGGTTCCACTGTATGATACTAAATGCATCTATATACATGTATGGAGTAATAGTATTCACTGTTGCTGCATAGTTTTCAAGGGTGTGGGTGTGTGTTTGTGATTGAATTCTGCAGGGAGTTTGCTCGCACCATTCCGCGACCGTTTTCCGTCCGCTATAACCCTTACACTCAGTCGATCGAAGTGGTGAAAGACAAAGGCTCGATGGACAAGGTGTTAAACGACATTCGCTACGAACTCGACGTTCTACAGGACGCCATTGGAAAGCAGGCTACCTGAAACGAAAAAGGAGAGGGAGACTATATATATAGAACAAATCCTGTCATTTTTTTTACTAAACTGGAAAAACAGCAGAAACTTATTTGTATTACACGTTCTTTAACTCTGTGTTTCATGTGTACATTTCATAGCTTGTGTAGAAGTGTTTGCAGGTAAAACTAGTTTTTTTCTTTAAGGCAATCTGATACTTGCCCGCCATTCGTCGGGGAATTTGGGTCTGTCTACTGATGTATCAGCTGTGAATATCCCGTGCAGTGTCATAGGTCACTGCATGTATGTATCTACACAGCAATGGGCCCTAAGGACCTGAACTAAGCTTACATACATAACTGCTTTGCAATGAGATAGTGTGAGTTGTACCTAATAATCTTGTGTCGAGTAAAACTGACTACATGTTTTACTGCAAGCACGTGGGAGTATTAATTAGCTTATAATTACCATTTTCAGTGTTCCCTGAGGCAAGTTCAGGCCATTAGCATGTTTCCTGTATATATATAGCAGCCAGGCTATAATTATAATGCCAGCTATAATTATAATGCCAGCTATATAGTGTGTTTGCTCAAAGCTGGGCTATAGATAACAAACAGAAGCCAGTCAAACTGTTGTGGCTGTGATGTCGTCCCACTAGGGAATTGTCACTGGTTACTCTCTCTATACCATAGCATGCTGGTCCAGCGGGTAAGGTCAGTTCAGGGATCGCGGGTTGTAAACTGCGCATGCGCATTCGCGGTTAGATCAGACGCCATAAAGTCTCCCTGTCTCCCTTAGTTGTCAGCTGGAAATGGAGCACCGAAACCGTCTCTTTGCTGCAGCAACACTGCTTCTTCTGAGTCTGGAGAGCGGCGCTCTACTGTTAGCAACGCCTAGGGACGAAAGCCGAGTCCTGAATAGTGACGGTCGTCGACAAACCACCAGTGACTGTCCCAGTTACTTTCCGGGAGTGAGTCCCAACTCTAGACCGCTGGTTGGCTGCAGAACAGGTCCTGCCATCGGGAATGTGGACCACGTACAAGCCTTTGGTTTCGAAGGCTCCAATGTGGACCTGAGATCGTGCGACCTACCGGAGTACCCCGAGACCAAGTAAACAGTGTATGTTTTACTGGAGGTCACGTTTTTTTGTTTCTTCCTGCCACGCAGCGCGGGTGTATATATTGCAGATGTGCCCCTACAATGACATGGCTTTATATGGCGAGCAGCGCTTTGTCTTGCTGTGTTCGCTGATGCCAGCAGTTTACACGACGATTGTGCGCCCTTTCCGATAACAGAAGAGATAGCAAATAACTCTGCCTACCAGTGACTAGCTATGTACTTTTGCAATAGTATAATGATACTTACATAATAATCAGGTCATGAGCAGGGTATGAACTGTTTGAACAGTGAATACTAGCTCAATCGATTCCCTTCCGTCCTTAGTAGAGTAGGTATTATAATGATGCTGAGTTGATTTTACACAAGAACAGTTTTTTAGCTAAAGCTCCAAGTGGTGACTTAGCTCAGTTTACTACTTTCCATTTTTGCTGCCGTCAGCAGAATTTGGCGAGCTATACATACAGCAGTAATGCCCACAACATAATTACGTGGGTGTGCCAATCGCTCTAATAGTAATGAATGTGCCTTTGGCCATATCTGTTTATTCAGCACACATGTGTAATACATCATGCACTGCACATGTGTTTAATTACAATTTTCGCCTGATAATTGGTACAACTTGTGAGTTTGTGGGACATTACTTTGAATTTTCAAAGATAAGTATTGTTTTTCAGTCGCAGGGTCTGCTACAGGACTACGATTGACTTGTGTGGAACAGAGTACAGACTGTATCTAAACAGAAGAAACTTCCAAGGTCTACGTGAAAGGTGTCCAAGTGAGACAGAAGCCCTATCTTATGTCTGAAACTGGGGTGATATATAAATCACCGCGATACCAGTGTACAAAAAGGAACGGGAGGTTTTATCAGTACAGGAACAGAGAACTCTGTCTCTATAACATCTCTGTACCTGACTGTAAGTCTGGAAGAGTTTCTAATTCAGCAAGCTGAGGACAACCCCCTTCAACTAGAGGAGAGAGGAGATAATGGAAAATGTATGGACTATCTACAGTTCTACTATGATAGTCGTGAGCGTAACTCCATAGAACAGACAAATCGGTTTTGTGGCGTAGAGCTGAAGAGTCGAACTAATGATGATACCATTGTACTTCCGACCACCAATTTCTTAGCAGTATTCTGGACTGACACTCAGAATAACTATGTGGGGTTTGGGATGAGGGCGATATGTCAGCCAGGGATGCAATCTGGTAGTGGTGCTATCGATTAAAGTGGAGAAATAATCGTCAAATTATTTTGTTCGTCTCGTTCGTTTCATTTGTGTTATGCAAACTATTTTTACAAGACTGTGCAGCACTTATTTTTGGATACGGCGGGATAAAAGGTAGCATGCATGTTCGAAGATAACTTGTTTGTTGGAGAGCTAACTATGGCCCACGCCACGCAGCTTACTTCAACCATGACAGTCAATCAGCCTCTGGCACCACTGTTGTCATCAATTTTACTTCTTTCTGAGGCAGCGGGTAAAACATGAAATGCAGATTACAGGCTTGTAATGTCGACTGTACAATTTACAATTTTAAAGGGTCACTCTCACACAGTGTTTGCCAATACGGAATCACTATGGCTAACACTGAATCCAGTTCACACACAAATTAAAGTGACTCGCTTTGCGTGTATTGGCACATGAAACTATGGAGATTTCGAATTCATGGCCTGCCAGTTATCAGCCATGCACATTGTAGTATTGTGCATGATAATGGCTAACTCCCCTGTGGGCCAAATTTGTTGTGAAATGGTTCCATGGACCATCTTCATAATGTACACGGATTTGCATGGTTGAAATAGTCCTTCCACGCACACTTGACATTCAGCAGATTTTTTTCCCGCGCAGGGGTTACATACATGACTCGCATACACGCCGCGCCGCCCAAGCTAGCAGCTCTAGCAGCTCTCTCAGCTCAGCTCAGCTCGCTAGCTCAGATCATCAGCGCGCGCGTGCGCCGGCCGGCTGGACGACGCGGGCGCGGCGCGCGCGCAGTTAATTACGAAGCGCATGCGCACACAACACCGCAATATTGCCCACGGCCACTGGCCAGCTAATCGACTCAGCTAGCTATATATAGATGTATATCCAACGACGTCAGAGCTACATTATACATGTGAGCAGTAATGCATGTGGTCAAAAGAACGGTGGAGTACCAAAAGGATGTTCCTGAGTGACCCCCACACTTTGGCAGGTCATTCCTAGAAAACCAGAAACCTGTACTTTTGGATTGACAATAGGATGGTTCCATTCCTAGCCTAAGAAGTGGTGGAGTAGTAAGCCAGGAGCATATGTATCCATCCTGTCATGCGTGGGAAGAATGAAACATTGCCAAGTGGCTATTACAGCACAATACCTATAACCAGCAACACTGCATGCAGTTGTTGCTGAGGTTTGTATATACAGCTACGTACATTAGTGTATACATTGCTGGCCAGTAACTGAAAAGAGCGAGCACTATATAGCTCTAAGCAGTGTATTACGAGGTTGAATTGAGACTTGCTCCCATATTAAGGCCAAACAAATTACGACAAAGGAATGGTAACCACAAGCAATTAGGGATGGGTTTGAATGCAATAAAAGTGAATGCTCCATATGGCAAGGCAATAGTGGTTCATACAACAGAACTAAAGGAGAATTCCAGTGTATTTCCATGGGCAGCTTGATGAAATATCGGTAGATATGAGGAGAATGCAGACTTCTGAGGAACACTTGACAGATTCACTTGGCCCTCACTGAAATACCAGAATGATCCTCCATTACCAATCAATGCTACATTATACTGATATATCAGGCTCATATTCACGTTAATGTTTAGAGTTCAGCTTTCTGTAAATCAAGCAGTGCACTCTAGCAAAGGACACTAATACTAATGTTCCATACCCATCAGTGCACTCTACACATTGGTGCGGCTAGGCTGCTCATGAGCTTCCACAACATTGGACCAAAAGAAAGGCAGACATAGAGAGCACATTGAATTGAGCCAAGTAAACATTATACATACAACACTGGAGGGGTAGCTACCTGGCACAACAAGGCCATTATATAGATCCTTTCATTCCTTTGCAATACACAGTCTATAATATTATTCATTGGGTGCGGAATTACACTTTGGCTATAGTGCTATACCTGTATATATATCTCAAAACAGGTATAAATGATAACCTCAAAACAGGTATAAATGATAACCGTATTGCCACTGTGCTAACATTATAGTGTGATGGGATCAAGTGTATTGGATAGACTCGACAGCTGTTGGGTATAAATTCCTTCCAACCCTTAAACTTAATATTGAGACTTGATATACAATAATAACAGAGCACCGATAGGCGATAGATAGAGAGGCACTTGAAGTATGTTTGGAAGAATCTGAGACATGAAGTCAGCTAATGCATTTGAAGCCACGAGTAATTTAGACAAATTCTCAAAATAATTGATCGTTGTGATAAGACAGGAGTGATGATTATGATAATATAACAATAATAATTATCCAACAGTCTTCATTTTTCAGGTGCTGTCTGCACAAGTCACACGGAGCTTGAAACCGAGTCTGCTGTACGACGTGTCGGTCCAGAACAGTGCAGTGACTCGCGTGTTGGGGATCTCCAGCTTTAGTCGCGACAGCTCAGAGTCACAGAACCGCTGGTAGGGAGTGCCGTCTGTGAAAAACTGGAGATAGTCTGTGCAGATGTGGTAGCGTTGGCGTCTCTCCATTTCCTGGGTGTAGTGCAGGGTGTTGTCGATGACTAAACGTCCTGATGTACATTCGGGGAGGGACAAGTCATAAAGACAGAACTCGCTGTTTCTGTAGTTCATGAAGTTGTTGGCATCCGGCGAGTTTAAGCAGCCGTAGCGCGGTGACTGCAAGAACCGTCCGCCTAGCGGTGAGGGTGGTATTTCATCAGTTTCGTTGGCGCAGGAAGAGAGTAGATTGTGCGGATTTCGATGGTTGAGATAGATGCTGTAGCCATCCTGGCACTGATACACCGTCGTCTTGTAGCACACACGCTCACTGCACAAACAAAAAAGACACACACACAGAGACATAGCTACATATTCTTCGGCAGCAAAAGCATCACCTCAAACATCTACACCAGTGAGCTGGACTGGACTTGAACACCTGGGGCCTTTACATCACTTCTGTGTGCATTCCCGCCCCTGCAATAATGCACACAACTACAGCTTCAGGGGGCCTTTTTATACTCAAGCCGAACAGCAGGGCAATGATGTGCCTAAGTAATAAACCGATCAAACATTACACAGGCTGAAGCCAATTTTGTGCCCTAAAGCACTTTCATCTGCCAATGTAGAAGGGCAGTGTCCAACAATGGGATGAGTCAAACATTAGGGGCTGAAGCCAATTAGTAAATAACTCAGCTACCAAGCAGTGCTATAAGCTTACTTTTCGTTGGGCAAGAAGGGGATGCCGCACTCAGTCCAGTTGGGGTTCCGCACGTGAGAGCCGATACCGAACGCCAGCATGTGATCCACTACCCCGATCCCCGCACCCGTAGCGCAACCCGCAGTCTCAGTAGAAAAGCGCCCCGGGTTCCCCGTCCGGTAACCGGGGCAGTAATCTTGCTCCTCTCCGCTCCCAGTGCTATTTTCCGAAGTGTTACCCGCGTCCGTCATCTCCTCCTCGCCCGACTGCGCGGCGGCCGATGCTCCGTTTCCCTGAGCCAGTATCCACGTCGTTTCGCCGCCGTCGGTGACGGCGACGTTGAGTAGCCACGCGAGAGCGACCGCGTATAACAGTAGCTGGCCAGACATTGCCGAACAGAGTATCTGGTTAAAACAGTGCCGTGATTATCCGGGGGTCTCTGCGCTATTGAATAAGCGAAGCAAAACCGCAGTCTTACTTTTATGCCTTCTTGCGACCACAGTATATAAAAGCGCGCGTTGTGTTTAGCGCATGCGCATAAGTTCACAGTGTATACGTACGCATGCGCACTGCACTGTTTTTATAGGCAATCGAATCACATACGCAGCGTGTATAATACAGTCACAACTCTACACTATGGGAATACACACACTCTCTCAAGTCTAAGTCATCACCAGACCAAAATAATTATATCTGGTGTAGAAGTAGAAACTTTAATCGATAGCACCACTACCAGATTGCATCCCTTCCTGACATATCGCCTCATCCCAAACCCCACATAGTTATTCTGAGTGTCAGTCCAGAATACTGCTAAGAAATTGGTGGTCGGGAGTACAATGGGATCATCATCAGTTCGACTCTTCAGCTCCACGCCACAAAACCGATTTGTCTGTTCTATGGAGTTACGCTCACAACTATCATAGTAGAACTGTAGATAGTCCATACATTTTCCATTTTCTCCTCTCTCCTCTAGTTGAAGAAGGTTGTCCTCAGATTGGTGAATTAGAACTCTTCCAGACTTACAGTCAGGTACAGAGATGTTATAGAGACAGAGTTCTCTGTTCCTGTACTGATAAAACCTCCCGTTCCTTTTTCTACACTGGTGTCGCGGTGATTGAAATATCACCTCAGTATCTGACGTAGATAGGGCTTCTGTCTCACTTGGACACCTTTCACGTAGACCTTGGAAGTTTCTTCTGTTTAAGATACAGTCTGTACTCTGTTCCACACAAGTCAATCGTAGTCCTGTAGCAGACCCTGCGACTGGGGAAAAAAACAAAATTCAGCCATTATTATAGTGTAGCTTATAAGTCTTATTCACACAATGAACATTGTTAAGCTGGCTATTATGTGAACTCATATTTAGCCAGTCTTTGTGAGGAGTTTTCACTACAACTTTGGTGCAAGCTAGTTCCCTATAGCTAGTAAGGTGACATCACAACAGGATGAGTGTAATATACTTGGTCTCGGGGTACTCCGGTAGGTCGCACGATCTCAGGTCCACATCGGCGCCTCTGAAACCAAAGGCCTGTACGTGGTCCACATTTCCGATGGCAGGGCCTGTTCTGCAGCCAACCAGCGGTCTAGAGTTGGGACTCACTCCCGGAAAGTAGCTGGGACACGACGATCCTGCTTGGATTCTATTTGACTCTGTGAGCGCGAGCGTCTTGACACTGCACCACCCGAGAAGAGCGATCACCAGAACAGAAACTACGGAACAAAATGCTCGGAACTCCATACGTAGCTAGCTAGCACAGAAGTGAATGTCGTGATGCGCATGCGCAATTAAGGTCACGTACGTCCTATCCCCCTATCATGGTATTGTGGAAGCGTGAATGCTCGGAACTTCATAGCTAGCTCGCACAGAAGTGAATGTCGTGATGCGCATGCGCAATTAAGGTCACGTCCTATCCTATCATGGTATTGTGGAAGCGTGGTAGCTAGCTAGGAAGTCGTGGATGCTAAAATGGTTAATCCTATCAAGCAGCTTGTCGCTTCTGCCATCGTTGAAAGAACCATTGTCAACTCTGATGACGTTGATCACCTTTGTGTTTCATAATACCTTCATCTAGTCAGGCCAATGCAAAAACGAAAATAAAACGTTTTTACAATGTTGAGATGGACCAGTAAACATATCCTACAAGGAAAAACACCGCAATCTGAGTTTTCCCCTAACCATCATTTGTTTTGCCCCTTGTGGAACAACACCATAGTCTAGGATAATATACCATACATAAACTGATGAAGAGAGAGGGGAAATATCAGCTGTTCCTGAGTGAAGGAGAACTAAAAGTTTGTTTTCAAGACCCCTGTTTTCTTAGTAACCACATTCCATTCCATAGCATTGAGGTTGACACAGACTATTCTGAGAATATCACCGGAACTGCTGCTACAGTTGATGATGCCACTATGATGTCATAGGGAATAACCTTGGCTTGTGCGTGTTTTCATGGGCTGGGCTATTAGTATGCGGTCTCCTCTCTCTATGAGAGTCTCACACGGGCTAGTGATAGTAGTAGCAGGAGTCCATACACGCCCTTCGTTGTGACTTCGTACTGCAGGAGTAATTGTACTTGCTTGTATTTTATACTAGCATCACAGCTGGTTTCTATTTCAGCACCTTAGGCAATTATATAGGCAAGACTGCTGCCCTCACCTAAGCAACAAATCCTATATACAACTTGCTTGTAGTAGCCGCTAATCAGACTTTTTGGTTGTGGAAACGTGCAATATATAGAATCTGATAAAGACAAAATCAAACTACTGTGTGAAACATAGAAATGATTCGTTTCGCTAGGGACAGGCCGTGGAATCCAACGAAAGGGGGGAATATGACGTTATCTGACACTGAGCACATCTGTTTTTGTTTACACTGATCCCACCACATTTTTTTGGACTTCCGAAATACACCCCCACAGAGCCTGCGCCATAACATTGATATGGCTCCAGTTTCGTATATAAGGGGAAAAAATCCACGACAACATATCACCACAAGCATAGAGAGAAGAAACTTAAAAAAAGCAAAACGAGCATCGAGCACAATGAGTCTTATAGCACTCCATGCTGCCACTCTGACACTGGCAATGTTGCTAGGAGCTACACTTCAGGCACCGATAGAATCAGAAGACAGAGCATCTATGAGTAACACTACTACAGTAGTGGCCGGAGCATCATTAGAGTCTGGTGAAGAGGGAGACATGAATGAGACCCAAGTCAGCAGTTGTCCCAACTATCATCCCGGTACCAGCCCTCATGATAAGACTGGCTGTCTCACTGGATCAACACTGACCAGTCAACCACGAGACTGCATTTGGGTTCAAGTGGCACGGGTCAACCCTGGCTGCCTGCGTATTCGTCGCATTCCACAAGCTAAGTAGAGTTGGCTTGCACTATAGTTTTTAACTTCACCAACACAATTGTAGCCATCTTGTGCTGGATGATAAGACATGTTTTGACACAGATATACATGATGGGCTTTGTAAGTGCACGCATGGAGGTGTAGGGATGGGGTTATGAATGAGATATTTGACACCTTCGTTCTTAAAGGGAAAGTGATTTTTCACTTGTTGATGATGGCCCTTTGTTTTTCCTACAGTCAGAGTGATTTGGCTGTACAGAACACGTTGACCAGTGTGGTATCAGCGGTACTGAGTACAGAATATACCTCAACCAGAGAAACGAGGCCGGCCTCCAGCGACAGTGTCCGTCTGAGAGTGTGAAGACCTACGCTCGTCTAAAGCAGACGGCTCAGACGCTACCTCCAGTCTCCGAGATACGGGTGCAGGAAGGGGAGAGGGACGGGGAGCCTGCATAACTACAGACCAACGAATTCTGTCTCTACAATGTCTCCATCTCCAACTGCGAGAGTGGGTTTACAGTGTTGGAGACTTCTCAGCAGTAACCATCAGATGGAGGAACAGATGAGGGACGAGAGCGGGAACCTCATTTGCACAGACTATCTCCAGCTTTCTATGGAAACTCAAAGACCGAAAGGTTCTGCGACAATGACCTGACATGAATCTGCCATCTGCCACTCCACCCTCCCAACTACCCATTTCTGGCTGTCTTTTGGACCGACCCCTCCACTAACGACCTCGGCTTCAAATTGAGAGCGAAATGTAGACCACTGTAGTATAATCATGTTGACGCAACACCTCCCTCTCATCTATTTGCACTATTAGATACTCTGCTGTGCACAAAGTGATATTATCGTGTGGAATTGTCCCTAAATGAGATAATGAGTTTCATGTTTACACTGTAATTTCACTAGTCACGCTACCGTTGAAAACAAGCTCATCGAGTTAGTGAAGATGGGAATATTGTAGGGAATCATGCCTTTTGCAGCTACTAAAACATCAACAGTATGCAGGTTGTATTGATGTTTTTAGCAATTTACGCACAGCTGTCATAATATCACAAGACAGTTACAAGGCAATAATCCGTTGGTCCCGTAACATCTATTGGGTATTAACCCAAGACAAGCCAGCACATGGGCACAGCTGTCATGAGACAGTGACAAGCCAATAATGCATTGGTCCTGCAAAGATTGGGTATTCACCAATAAATGCAGCTGCACCACGTATAATATACATCACAAGTCAATGACAAGGCAAAAATGCCTTGCTCTTGCAAACTATATTGTCTATTCGCCAAGATAAGCCTGCTGCTACCCGGACACGGTCAACATTAACATACCTGGACCTGGACATTAACATACCTGGACCTGGACATTAACATACCTGACCTGGACATTAACATACCTGACCTGGACACTATGTTTTAAAAGTAAATTATCCATGAGCAATAATAGACCTAGCCAAAGGGAACAAGCCTATGGTAAAAAAATTTTACTAGCATCCATTAACACCATGATCCACACACTATAATTAATAATCATAATTTAACAAACAAACAAGACTTTGTCCTTCTTTTTCATTCAGTGACCAACACAAATAAATTGAAACGGACATAATAGCTGCTCTGTACTTAGTGTTTAATATAGTATACTTTTCCATGAAAAAACATGTTTATATACTAGCTCAGAGGAAAAGAAAGAACCTCCCCCACCCAAGCACACAAAACACAGACAATAACATACCCAAGCGTACAAAAACACAGACAATAACATATAAACAGAAAGAAAGAGGCAGGACCCTGGGTGCCCAGCCTTGAGAACCGGGGCGGTAGGTTAAAGAGTCTTTTATGGGCCCAACTCTCCCTACACACCCGTGTCCCACCTCCCTTACACATAGTTATAAAATAATAGATAGAAATCATGTACAAAAAACGACAGCTACAGGATAAAAACACAGCCGGTAGAAAAATAGAAAGCCTCAAAGGACCCATAAACTCATAGCAAAATATAAAACTCTGAAACTCACGCAGCACGACGACACGACGGAGACATAAAAAACGTGCGATTATTCTAAATAACGCATAGAAAGAACCACCTGTGCTTGTGTTGCGGGGCTTTTGGTATGTAGAGACTATCCCATTCAGTACACAATCACGTGTCATAGAAAGGAAATGCCCGGACCTGCCGGCGAGAGCGTGCATCGCCCTATAAAAGAGTGAAAACTCTCAAAGTCACAGCAACCACCGAAAGCAGAAAAAGTAAAGAAATACTTCAGAACTCTACGACCAAGGAAAAATCACAGAGAAAATGCTCAGACACATTCTTCAAGCAGGACTCACATTCTGCCTCGTGTCAGTGGCTTTTGCCACCGATCACACAGAGAGAAGCACGTATGGAATCCCAGACACGTGTACTTGTGGATTTGATACCTTACCAGAGGAAAACGCTGCCGAGCTATCAGTGACAACGAGTGCTACCCCCGACCACCAGGACCTGGGGATATCTGCCGACTGTCTCCCTGACATTGAAGACAAGTGAGTGTTTTCTCCATTATACAGTGTCCTTATGGAGATGGCAAGGTTCACAGTTTGCTACCCTTTACCACGACACCTGCTGAACAAGAGACACTTTTAAAGTGTCCTAATTGTCCTTTATTCAGAGGTGTCCTCTATATGCACTAATGTATTAGTATGGGGCAGAACCAAATGTCCTTTATATAGCTAATCAGAGTTATCTTTTCACTTTGTAATAATTTACCTGTGACTTTTCTTTGTATTGCAGTACTCGAGTGTGCTTTCGCACAAGAGTGAAAGAGTGTACCAACGACAGAGGTGGAGTTGACTATCACTGTCGGCTCTTTTACAACAACTTTACGAACGAGCCGCTCCCCCAGAGCTGTGAGAGCGCAGTCTTTCTCTCTCCTCCACAGACGCCGACTACAAGACCTTCTGCCTGTTTCGAGTGAATCTCAGCTCCAGTACTGCTAACTGCACGTCCATTAGACTGCAGCACATGATCGATTACCCAGAAGAAGAGTACGTCGACAGTCTCAATGTATCCCATCCGTGTCGAGATGACTCGGGGAGTAATCATAGCCCTGCATGTCAAGATTACTTACAGATCTACTACGGGTCCCAGACTAGGGTGTTGTGTCGTCGCGAGTTGGCAGAGTTTGAGCTGAGGCTTGAGAAAGTGACGTCATTTGTGGCAGTGTACTGGTCTGACTCCACCACCGACCCCAACACTACCAGCTCCTTCAGCCTTCGCGCCGAATGTGACGTTTAAAAGACTTGACCATTCAAACCAAAATGAAATTTGCATCTTTTTATGAAAGTGAAGTATTATAAGATCATTTGTGTATTTGTATTTTTTCAATAATAGCAGTCGGTATTCGTGATTTGGGGCTGCAAAAAACGGCATGCTAAAGGTGGTTGATGTGGCCACCAAGCCTCTCTCGGGTGCAAATCGTGCGCGCGTTACGAACTACTGCACGTGCGCGCGCGCGCAGAGGTAATCCTGGAGAGCATGCGCAGTGAAGTTTTCAGGAAAACAATGTAAATCCGCTGCTTCAGTAATGTAGCTATAGTATGCCTCTAGCTTAGTATATGCTTATTACATAATATAGTCTTATTACAGTAATAGATATGGGTGCAGAGGAAAGAGAATGATTTCCTTGTGGCCAGCAAAAGGGATGTCCCTATAATTATGCGATTCTGAAAACAGTTTGGTCCCACAGGAAATTATTCTTGAGGATTCCTATACAAGAGCTTCCTGTATGGTGAAGACAGTGTCTTTCAATGTCCTCTCACTGACAGGAGGAAAAGAGAGATATGCACGAGCTTTTCTCCATTACATCATTGTATAAACAAGACATTGCATCGTATTGGCTTCATTTGTAGTTAGTAGAGCAATGCACAGATGATATGAATTCTGGAATTCTGATGACATCATAAGTGGGCAGTGTATATACCTCTGGACTCTCCAACTATACTATCTCTGAAATGAGGAAAGGATAATATATGTATATAGTAACATGCATACCTTCGTCTGTGATTTCCATATTTGGCCAAAGTATGGTAGCCAGCAAAATCACTCATGTTGCAAAAGGTGAGTGTTTGTGTGTGTGGTTTAAGTCCACGTGAATGAGGGGGGAGAATTGGGGGATAAGTTGAGATGTAGGAAACGCTGAACTGCCATTCTTTTTTACTACTATAATTTTACTAACGTTAAAAATTCACCAAAGTGGCTAATATCTAGTACAAATTGGACACCATGAAAACCACATGACACTCCAGCACTCCGGCAGTTGTTTGTAGCAATATTATGAGTAGCTCATTGTTTCAATGTACTTGATCTTCAACAGACCATTAGCATCTAGAATGACCTAATACACATGATATCACCTATGACAGAAGTTGGTCACACTACAAGTACATTACATCACCAGCAAGTGCACTCATTGGTCAGATTCCGGAAGATACCAACGTCTTTTACAATTTTGAGTGGGCAGAATTTTTTTCGCATTACCTGTTCATCTACCAATCTTGTGGAGTGAGACTGCAGTAATCATTGCCAGTGGCTTCCCATATCCCACGTGGTTAAACAACAGATCTTTCGACTCATGAATTTGATCAAGTTTACTGAAAGCCTTGTGTAGGGATCTAACCTAGGTATCCCCCTCTTACATAAACCTGCAGCCTTATAAACATCACCTCTTATGAAAACACAACACACACCCAGACAGGTGTCAAGTGCTAAAAATACCTATTCAACTAGAGTGAAGTAGTGTCTAGCTAAAAGTGTAGGATTATATTATATTTTATTAGCTATATGATATCACCTGACAGAAGTTGGTCACACTACAAGTACATTACATCACCAGCAAGTGCATAAGTGTCTAAGCTAAGAGTGTAGGGATTATATGCAGCACACTCATAATACACAAGTTCCGAGAGCCACAAAAGTCCTTAATCATTCCCCAGTCTTCCCTATAGCTACCTACTAACCCCACTTTCCCTACATGGCCACCATGGCTTTGTACACCCACAGAGGAAAATTCCTGAGTCGTGTGTAACTGAAATCCCGGGCCTCCCCTCTCCCTTGACTCCCTGGGGACCAAATCAAACACTGAACTCTGTATATATCTAATTTCACCTGGTTTTGTTTGTGACCAGCTGGAGAGTAATGATACGCAGGAAGAGGTGCCACACATGTGGACAGGTTTCTGAGCATAGACATCGTTTTACCATTGCTGCACCCACAAGTATGTGTGTAATGCACATTCAATGGGAGCATATTCATTCATTGCACATTGTATCTTTGAACGTGACCTAAGGTTTATTTAAAACAACTGGCTTTGTAAGATAATGAAATTCATAGTAAGACTAAACATTCTAGAGACATTACCTCAAAGACATCAAACAGCAACTTTTGGTCCTCAGTAGAACAAAGAGTTATTCAGTGGGAAGCTAAGTATGACATCATCGATCAAAATGTATTCACGGACATGTGCATCACTAATGGGAACTTCTGTTACTCCATTTTAGGATGGAGATGAAATGGGAGGGAAGGTCCTAGGCAAGGGATCGTTCACGGATAGCCATAATATGTACAAACACAATCACACAATACCACACATCCACAGGAAGTTATTTTCATGGTAGGAAATCAAGGAAATTGTGTTTCAGTGTCAAAATCATTATCGAGTTTAGGGAAGTTCCTTTTATGCACCGTCCCTCACTTCCAATTGTACTACAACCTCACCAATGACGGTTGCCAGCTCTGGAGCAAGGGGAAGACGAACTCTTTTCCGTCGGCTGTGCCAAGTTATTCTTGCTGCAACTCCCAAAACATATCTATAGCATTATATCTATGTATCAAGCTTCCGGGGGCTTAGCCTGACCGCCAGCTGTTGGCCGAGATTGTAAACGTGCCAAAGCAATTCACCAGCTTTGATCCGGCTTTGTGAGTTACTGCTGCTGTATTATTATATCATTCATTACACAGACTGGGATATCACAATTTACTGACCACCACATCTCAACCCATAACAAGTGGTCGTAGTCTTCTCCTGTTGATTTGTATAAAGTGTACTGTGTTGTTTATCAACAGATAACCGTTGAGGTAGGATTAAGTAATAGACATGTAAACACATCCTTGAGAACCCACAGTAGGTAGTGGAAGTTATTTCAATAATCGGATGTCAGAACTGCAGTACTGATCACAGTCCAGGGACTATACCAAGCAGCTACTTCCATAAATAGACCAAAGAATTCAGGATACAAAGATCACTGTAAAGTGCCACTGTGAGAATCCTAGTTACAGTGTGTACCAGGTGTGTGCAGACAGGATGTGACACAATGAGATGTTCAGTTCTCTGTTAAGTTCTGACATTACCTAA